CGCGCTGGGGGAGTTCAGGGAAAGCGTGGCACCGTCGCGTCAATACTTGACGCGTCCCATCCGCGAGCGCCCGGACTTAGGAGCATTGGCCACCCTGGTATCTTTGCGCGGCAGAGTGGCGGAGACCATTGGTCTCGGTAAAGCTCGGAACAAACTTATGGACATTGGGAGTTGGAACGCACTTATTGCAACGCGGCCTGCCGACATTTCCCAACTAGTAATGCTCGTGTTGTTAGACGCAGTTTAGACCACAGCAGCGGGCAAATTTTGTTCATGCCTACTTGGGAAGCTCGAGTGGGCATTGTAGCTGTTGTTTGGCTGGGCACTCGGAGGAGGACGAGCTAGGTAATTCGATGCCTGCTGTTCCGCCCCCTGGATTGCTCGCTGGGGGTTGGAACGGGGGCATTGCGCGAGCGTGTGGGGTCCCATCGGTGGTTAGGTTATACGTTACATCATCTGGGGGTGCCCGACGTAAAAATATAGGAGGGGCCGTGCGGATGGTGTCCGTGCAATTCGACGACCACCCTTGGTTGGATTTCAGCCAAACCTTCGAATGTTTGAAGCACACGCAAACGACTGGTGCACGGCAGGCCAGGTGTCTCCAGAACGCACACCCGTCGTTTCAAATCCCAGGCGGTACAATTCTGATTGCAAAACGTGATTGGATGCACGGTAAGCATTTGGGATTGGACAAAGGAGTGCACGATTCAGCACCATGTTGTTTGAATCATTACTTGCCCCGTGGAGGCGTAGCCACGGACGGACACGGGAAAATCCACAGTGAAATGTTTGAGAGTTTTAAGCGGGCACAGTGCGGACTCAATTTGCCCACATCAAGCCGTCCATCTGCAATGCCCGTGCTGAGGCTAACGTGAGAGGAACAGCTGCCGATGCAACATAGCTGGGACTTGTCCTCTTAGAAAGTTGGCGTAAACCCATGAATCCAGATATTGAGATGTTTACCAAAGTTCGATTGCTGATTCAATTCCGTGTCTCCTGCTCGATGAAAAGCCCGATGCGATTCCCAAGGGTTGCTATGTGACGCCGCTGGACCAACGGAGAGACTTGATAGTCACGCGTCAGACGTTCTTGCGTTTATGGAACGAGGTGCGAGGCTCCTTTCTGAACCACGCAGATGCGCAGGACAATGCATTGTTTCGTATAGCAACAATTCACAGGTGTTGCTGCACTGCGTCTTGGAGGGGTAAAACCATAGAAATATGTGGTGCTGTCGTGGCTCAGACCTGATGAGCAAGATGCGTAGGCTCGCATGTTCTTGCGCCAAACGCGCCCCACCTGGGACACAAGGGAACAAAACAAGTCGCAAGTATTGCGTTGCCCTGAACATGGCGTTCAATGCGTTTGACTCTGTTGCGTTTTGAAAACGCTGGATCACAAACGCGTTGAACGTAAACGTGCAGCGCGCAGAAAAAGGTACCTTAATAGATTCCTTGCGCAATGACACAAGGCTCAACCCGATGATACTGGAGAAAAGCCCCAATCATAATCTTATTAGGGCTTTAGGGCTATGGGGCTATAAGGCTATAGGGCTAGAAGGCTATGGGGCTATAGGGCTACAGGGCCATAGGGCTATAGGGCTATAGGGTTATGGGGCTGTAGGGCTATAGGGCTATAGGGCTATAGGGCCATAGGGCTATAGGGCAGTAAGGCTATAAGGCTATAGGGCTGTTAGGGCTATAGGGCTACAGGGCTATAGGGCGATAGGGCTATATAGAGCTACCGGGCACCTGGGCACCCGGGCGAACCTGGGCACCCAGGCACCCGGGCACTCGGGCACCCGGGTGTGCGGCGAAAATCGACGGCAAACCTAACCCAACCATGTGATTCCGCTTGGACCCCTACAGAGGCAAGCTCTGAGTGGGGAATTCGGCAACTCTTGCCTTATGGCTAACCTAACGTCTAGTCTCAAGTGGTTAAGGCTGACCTACCACCTACCGGCAACCTGCAGAAATTCACTGATTCGGTTAATAATTCCCGATCTGCAACATGAGCCCAAGTAATTTACAACATTCCCGGCCGTTTTTGTATTCAAACGTCGTCTTCAGGGAGAAGGCTCGGAAGCCCCCCGGCCTCCTGAGAAGTCCTCTGAGCCTTCCCCGAAGACGCAGAACACTTCTCAAAGGCCTGGAGGCCTTCGGAGAAGCCCTGCCGGCCTTCCGAGGAGGCCCTCTCGGGCGGGGCTGGGACGAGGGAGCGTCCCAGACCCTTCTCAGAGCGTTCTTGAACGCTCTGAGAAGGCCGCGGCGCCTGACGCATTTGCCAGAGCGGATACGGATTCTCGACTTATCCCCACCCGAGTATATCCACATCCTGGCTTCGTCTCACCATGTCTTTGGCCAGAAATCTCGACCCATTCCCGGGGACCAGTTGCTCATCCTGCTCATCCTGAGTCGTTTTTGACGGCCCCGCGGCCTTGTAAGAGGCCCCCGAGGCCGAAAGTAGCAAAATATGGTCCGTCGTGTTTTGTTGATGACCCGAGGGTCGAGCTGATCAACAATGCAATAGAGCGCAGCACTTCAACGCGGCATGGTGCCTCTCAGTTCATCGCAGGACAGAACAGCACAGCCCCTGGCACTGTATATCAGCATCGCTACCTTGACCATTACAATTGCCCGTCGCCCCAATTTGGTGTTGTGAGAATGTCCATGCTTCACGTTTCTATATCATTTCCCAGGTTCGTGCGCTGGTCATGTTTCATGACCGGAGGTACGTCTGAGGAGCCTGTCACCACCCACCAAACCACCCAAGCCAACCCGAAGGCCCAAATTGACCTTCGATTCCCAGTGGGAGGGGGGCGGGGGCGGAACATGAAAAAACACATATGGAACCCGTACCCCCCCCCAGAACCTGCAACTTCGGTCTTCGGGTTAGGTTCGGATGGTCTGGTAGGTTGTCAGCCTGCTTCTGAGCTCCAGGCCTCCTGGATAGAGTCCGAGCAGATGGGATCGGAGGGTCGCGCCGCATCGCCGATGCATCGGCGATGCGGCCCGATGCAGAGCCCGACCGTCTCCACGCCGACGTCGCCGATGCACCGCCGACGCATCGCCGATGCGTCGCCGATGCATCGCCGATGCGTGGGCGATGCGTGGGCGATGCGGCGCGATCCTCCGACCCCATCTACTCCGACCCCACCTAGGAGCCCTGGATTCCTGGGGGTGCACTGCCGCATTCTCCTCCTCCTCCCCCTCCTCCCCCATCTCCCCCTCCTCCTCCTCCCCCTCCTCCTCCCCCTCCTCCTCCTCCTCCTCCTCCTCCACCCCCCTCCTCCTCCCCCTCCCCCCCCCCCTCCTCCTCCTCGGCCCTCCTCCTCCCCCTCCCCCTCCTCCTCCTCTCCTCCTCCTCCTCCTCCTCCTCCTCCTCCCCCTCCTCCCCCCTCCTCCCCCTCCTCCCCCTCCTCCCCCTCCTCCTCCTCCTCCTCCCCCTCCTCCCCCTCCTCCCCCTCCTCCCCCTCCTCCTCTCGGGCCCTACTCCGACCCCGTCTGGGAGGCCCCTGTGAGCGTCGCCGCCCCGAGGACGCCCCGAAGGGCGAGCCCCCGCGCCGCGGCCCGGCGCCTCGCCGCGCTGCCCACGCCCGGGCGGCGCCGCTCGGCCGCGGGGCGGGCCGCCGCGGCGGAGGCGCCGCCGCCGGCGGAGGCGCGGCGGAGCCGCGGGAGCCCGCGGAGGAGGCGGCGGAGATCTTCCTCCTCCTCGCTCTTCGCTCCTCCTCGCTCCTCCTCATCCTCCTCCCGCTCCTCCTTCTCCTCCTCCTCCTCCTCCTCCTCCTCCTCCCTCCTCTCCTCCTTCTCCTCCTCCTCCTCCTCCTCCCTCCTCCTCCTTCTCCTCCTCCAAATTCCTCCTCCTCCTTCTCCACCTCCTCCTCCTCCTCCTCCTCCTCCTCCTTTCTCCTCCTCCTCCTCCTCTCCTCCTCCTCCTCCTCCTCCTCCTCCTCCTCCTCCTCCTCCCCTCCTCCTCCCTCCCCCCTCCTCCTCCTCCTTCTTCCTTTCCTCCTCCTCCTCCCCCTCCTCCTCCTCCTCCTCCTCCCCCTCCTCCTCCTCTTTCTCTTCGCCCTGCCTTTGTCACACAATTGCGCAGTCTGAGCACTATTCTCCTCCCTCCCCCGATCGGCCACGCGATGACGGGGGTATGGGGGGGGAAAGGCTTCCGAGAAGGAGGCGGCTTCTTCGAAGGCGCTGGTCCATCCATCTACACACGAGACCCGTGCCTGCTGCGGCGGCGGAGATCCTGGCGTTACAGTTGCCAATCGCACCAGCATCGCGTAGCGATCTGGGGGGGCAGGGGATCCTGGGAACGGGCCCCTGTGTGGCCTCTACGCCTGACAGTGCCCATGCGGCACGGTGGATTCTTCCTCACGGGCGGCGGCACGCTGCCTGGCGGAATCGGCGTGGGCGTTTTGCAGTTTTTCCAAAACAGGTGCTTCAGACCAGTTTCGCACCCTGGGGCCCTCACAGGTCGATGGGGCTCGAAAGCTGGTGCAGAAAAATGGGGTGTTGGGCTCTGCTCGTGATGTTATGGGATGTTATTTTTGTTTCGCAACGTCGGATCTCAGGGCTCGCGCCATGAAACAATCACTTTCGCAACGTCGGATCTCAGGGCTCGCGCCATGAAACAATCACGACGGACGGATTTCCCCATTGTCGGCCTCTGGGGTCCCTCGCCGGGCCACGTGGCCGTCAGAGAAGGACTGAGGATGAGAAGCCGGTCTCTGGGAAGGGATTCAGACCTTCGGGCGCGTGGCAATGGGGTGTGATCTGAATTTGGGGAATAACATGCTCCTCAAGGCAAGGGACCTTTTAGGGCCCCTTCTGGTGAAACCGGCAGGGGCCCGAAAGGAGAGGAGCCCTCACGTGCCCTTGTGGGGCCCTTTCCTTCATCCCCAGGTGAGTCATGCCCCACTGCCGCCCGCCCGAGCCCTCTGGGGGCCACGTCATCGAAAGCACGGCGTCGGGGGCCCGGGGGCGGGCGCGGCCGCGCCGGGCGAGGCGGAGCGCTCGTGGGAGCCCGCGCACGAGCGACCGCCGGCGGGGGCGGCTGGAGCCGAGGGCGAGGGCGCGGGCGAGCCCGAGGAGTGGGCGGAGCCGTGGGAGCCCGTGCACCCGGCAGCGGACGTGCCCGCGGCAGCCGAGGAGGAGCGGGCGGGGCTCCAGGAAAAGGGCAAGCATCCGTTGCGCAGCGTTCCAGAGCGTGCCGAGGCATCCTCCAGAGTCGCCGGTTCTCAGAGGTTCTCGATGTATCCTCACCCGAATTGATCCTCGTTCTGGCTTCGCCTTATAGGACGTGATGCTCGCGGAGTTCCACGCCTCAGCCGAGGGCACCGATGGCGAGGGGGAGTACGTGCTTGAGATACCAGCCGACGATGATGTTTACATGGAGCCAGAGCCGGAGCTGGATGCAGGTCTCGACGGGCAGCCACTGGACGAGGCGGGCGATGAGCTGGACGGGCCCGGGGTCGACGCCCGCCCGCACGGCGACGACGTGGACGTCTCTGGCTACCTGGACGTGGCCGTGCAGGACGAGCCAGAGGGGGATTGCGCGGGGCAGCTCTGGCTCAGTGGGCCCTGTAAACGACAGGGCCGTTTATTTACCGGTTCCGTGTTGCCGTTTTTGTTGCCGGTTCCGACGCCGTTGTTTTACCAGTTCCGTCGCCGTTTTTTAACCGGTTCCGGCTCTGTTTCCAATCCTGGAGCAGTGTTTTTGCCGTTTCTGGTTGCCGTTTGCTTGCCGTTTCCACTTTCAAGGGGCATTTTTTTGGAAACGGTGAAAAAACGGCCCTGCCGTTTCCGGGGCCCACAAAGGCTCTGAGGGCAGCCCCTGCCTCGCGCTCACAGGCCCCAGAGTGCCAGCGATGGTTCCGCGGCGTGCCGAGGATGAGGAGAAGGCGTCGGGCGCCGCACCGTGGAGGAGGAGGAGGAGGAGGAGGAGGAGGAGGAGGAGGAGGAGGAGGGAGGGAGGAGGAGGAGGAGGAGGAGGAGGAGGAGGAGGCAGCCCGCCCAGCTGAATCTCCGCGGCCCCGAGCCCCTGGGCCGGCAGCCACAGAGTCTGCCCCAGATGTGTGCCTCCTCCACCTCCTCCCCCCTCGTCCTCGTCCTCCTCCTCCTCCCGCTCGTCCTCCCCCTCGTCCTCGTCCTCGTCCTCCTCCTCCTCCTCCTCCTCCTCCTCCTCCTCCTCCTCCTCCTCCTCCTCCTCCTCCTCCCCCCCTCGTCCTCGTCCTCCTCCCGCTCCTCCGTGTCGTGGTCCACTCATATCCGCCTCCTCGTCCCCGTCCACCTCCAGGTGATGCAGGCGACCTATTTCAGTACATACCCGGCGCCTCGCATCCAGCGGTGCAGTCTTGCCGTCTTGCCGCCGCGGCTAATTCGTGGCTATTCCATGCTCTGCTCCCTTCGGGCGCGTCTCCCGTGCCCTCCGTCGTCCCCCCTGCCGCCCGTCCCTCCCTCCCGCTCCCTCCCTCGGCCTCGCGCCCCTCCGTTGCCGCGCGGCCCCCTGCTCCTCCGCGCGGCTGCTCGACCTGCATGCCGCGGCAGCCTGAATTCAGTCACGCTGGCTGCAGGACACGCGGCCGCTCCTCCGGCCCCAGAGGGCTCCGCCCCGGCCTCCACAGCCGCTGCTGGGCGGGGTTGGCGCGGCGGCCCGTGACCCTGTGGGGAGGCGGCGGCCCGTGGGACCAGTCGGAGACCGACGCCGGGCGCGCGCCAGGAGACGAGTGGGGGGGGAGCAAGGGCGTGCCCTGGAGGGAGGGAGGGGAGGGAGGGAGGGAGTGGGGTCTTCTTTCTCCTCCCTGCCCCTCCTCCTCCTCTTCCTCCTCCTCCTCCCCCTCCTCCTCCTCCTCCTCCTCCTCCTCCTCCTTCTTGTCCTCCTTCTCCTCCTCCTCCTGCTCCTCCTCCTCTCGGCTGTGGACCTATAGATCCCGCAGCCAGTCCCCACCCTGCCCCTGGCCTCTTCTGCCCCTGCCCCCTTGCCCACCCCTCCACTTGCCCCCGCCCCCCCGCGCGCAATCCTCCTCCGTCCCCGCTTCTTCGTCGGGGCCCGCGGGTGCCTCTCCCGTCAGGGCCTCGCCCAGGGTGCTCGTTCTCGGCCGACGACCGCGCTGGACCCCGCCAGATCCTCCCGCTGGATCCTCCTCGTGCGCCTCCTGCTCCGCCTCTTACGGCTCGGGCCCCCTGGGGGGAAAGATGATATCAACATCCACCATTCACCGCCCTCTGGGGCCCCAGGGAGATCGGTCCCCCAGGCGGTGGACATGTCTAACATCACCGCCTCGCAGGAGGGTGGTGGGGGGGGCTGGATTTGCTCCATCATGACTTCTTGCGCACGTGCTGGGACAGTGCTCCCATACCCTTCGCGTGCACGACGACTCCGGCAATGAACAAAATCCAGACATCCGACGCTTTGATTGAAACAAATCGGCCCTCACAGAAGTCCCGACCCTGTCCCCAGAGCTGGTTCTTCATCCCCGGCTGTTGTTTGACAGTCCCAGAGCCCGGCGAGGGCCCCCGGAGGCCGAAAGGTAGCAAAAACCGCCCGTCGTTCACGACGCGAGCATACCTCGCGGTTCCCTTCTGATCCCGTTCGGAGTTTGAGTCCGTTCTGCCGCCGAAGGGGCAGCCGAACGGGCTCAGTTCCGGCAAGATCGACGGAATTTGGGCTGGTTGGGCGCCGAATGGATCAGATCGAGAATCCATACTGCGGCCAGATGGGCTGAGACACCGAACCGGCTCGGAGGAGGAACCTTGGGGTGTCTGGGGATGAAGAACTGATTTGGCGTGCTTTGATCATGCGGCTTGATTCGAGGCATTCAAGAAAGGGCCTCGCCTTCGAGGATCGAAGGAGTTGATATCTCTTCCTCGGCTGGGGGCGGCAGAAGGCCGGCAGAATGCGTTGGAAGCAAAACGAGACGCCGTGTGTTGGCGGAAGCCCGCGGAAGCTCGGCGGAAGGCGGCGGCAGCAGAATTCGGCCCCCCAAGAGATGGCAATGGCAAGGGCTCTGTCCCCAAACAGTGCTTGCACTTAGGGTTTCTTTCTCGCTTGACGAACTGGCCCCGAATGTGGGTCTGGCGGTTCTGTTCAGGAGGGAAGAAAACACACAGACACAATTAATCCTCGATTCCCCAGAAAATATAGGAAAATATGGGAAGTGGGGGGGAAGACAGAAACCCAGAAAATATGGGGAAATATGGGGGATATTGTTATTTGTGTGTATTTATTTGTGTGTCCCAGTTCCTCTTCATGAATGTCGGCCTGGCGGCTCCGTGCTTGCCTTCGCCGCCCTGTCGCCGCGTCGTCGCCGCCTTTCGTCTGGGCCTGACTGTTGGTCTCGCGGCTCCGTGCTCGCCGTCGCCGCCCCGTCGCAGCCCTGTCTCAGGAGGGAAAAAAACACACAGACACAATTAATCGTCGAGTCCCAGGAAGATATGGGAAAATATGGGAAGTGGGGGGGGAGACAAAAACCCAGAAAATATGGGAAAATATGGGGGTTTATTTTATTTGTGTGTATTTATTTGTGTGTCCCAGGGCCCCTTCATCCGTGCTCGCCGTCGCCGCCCCGTCGCAGCCCTGTCGCCGCCCAATCGCCGCCTCGCATTGCAGTTTTTCTTGTGCCGCGGAAACAGATGCCATCACCTCACCGAGGCTGGACTTGACCGCTCACCCTCGCGCGTTGCGATCTGCATGTGATTCTGCTTCCGCGGGCGTTCTCCACGTGAATCAATACCAGCCCAGCCCAGCCCGTATCGCCCCGTATTGTCCACCCGCCATCCTTTTCAAAGAACACCATGCGCGCACATCCGTTCATCAAGAATCGTCAGTTTTCCCAAATCCCAAGCAAAAGGTTGGACGAAGTGCACACACGCGCGCGTCGTCGCGCGCGCATGACAGAATCCTTCAACAACTGAGCTTTCCGTAAGCATTTCGAATTCGAATTCCAGAGCACATATGAAGGAACAACTGGATGTGCAAGATGAATTTTCAGATCAGTCTTCGCGCGCGTTGGTGCGAGTTTCTGGATGCGGAAAACATAAAGGTTCTTCCACAGTTTCACCAAATGCGGTCAAACGTGCAGGTCTCGCGCGCATGTCGACATCATTCGAACCTTGTCCACGAATACCATGCGGGCCAAATGCGCGTGTCGGCCGCGCGCGCATCTCGAAATCCGTCCAAAACCTTCACCGACGCGTTGACACCATCATCGTCACCGGCGTGACCAATATCGGTGCCGTTATTGACCTTGCGGTCTTCATTGCCATCGTCGTCACCAGACTCGCTACTGTCACCATCGCGCCCGCCATTGTCGACGTTGCTATGGTACCGAGCCCGCTCGAGGCACCGACCCCCGCTGACGAGCGCGAGCGCCAGCGTGGCGTGCAACACGCGCTGGGAAGTCCCCAGCGGTCAGCGCCACCGCCGCCGCGTCGGTCGCGTCTGGCTAGCTGGTCGGGCTGCGCGCGAGCCTGCGCGCGCAAGCGCTGCAGCGGCGATGCGCCAGCCAGCGCCAAGCAGCCATCGCAGTCACCGCCCAAGGTTTTGCAGACGAGTTGCGGGTGTGCGCGTGGGATGTGCGAACACGAGCGTGGGAGGGCGGTCACGCGCGGAGCAGGCCCGTAGATTCCACCGCGTAGCTTTTCGGTGTGCTTTTCAACCATGAGATTTGCCACCGCCTCTGCCGGATCGGCCCTGGGCACGCAGACTCGTTCATCAAAAGTGTTACGCGTGTCCAGCAATCCCTTGCAAAGCATGCGGCAAAGTCGACACGCGCGCTTGCGCACCAGAATTATGTGTACATATTTATACATGAATATAACTATATATATATATATATCATAATTGCAGGTTGTGTACGGATTTCCACATCGATGATCCCGAAACATGTAAGCAACACGCACTGCTGGCCAACATGATTCTTCAAACCTATCAGGAAACAACACGCGTTGTCTTGCGATTTCGAGTTGGAGTCTGCATCTTTGATCTCTTCATCAAGTGCGACCAAGCGGGCCTCTCGCGCACGCATGTAGAAATCATCCGAATGCCCTTGAGCACTAGCCTGTTGGGGGGTGGGCGGCCCTTGTCAAATAACACCATGCGGACCACTCGCGCGCGTCGGCCGCGCGCACATGTCGAAATCCTTCCAAAACCTTCATCGCCGACATTGGCGCGGCAAGCATCGGCACCATCAGCTGCCTTGCCGCCGTTATCGTTACCATCGTCGCCATCGTCGCGACCATCATCATCATCATCATCATCATCATCATCATCATCATCATCATCATCATCACGCCGTTGTCGACGTCACCACGTCACAGCGTCCGCCCGAGGCATCGACTCGTAGTGAGATGCCCGCGCGCCAGCGCGGCAAGTTAGACGCGCTGGAGAGCCCCCAGCGGTTAGCGCCACCGCGGCCGCGTCGGCCGCGCCAAACTAGCCGGCTGCTCTGCGCGCGAGCTTGCGCCAGCCAGCGCCAGGAACCCATCGCAATCGCCGCCGCATGGGTTTTGCAAACGAAGTCGCGGGTGCGCGGGTGGGATGATTGCGCGAACATTAGAATGGACAATTCTTAGGTTTATGGAAGTCGCTTAATAGAGAGGAAGCATGCTGCCAAATATGTCCTAGATGTCTAAAAGATGTTTCAAGCATATTGTTTATTATGTGAAACATGTTTGCTACATTTGTAGACCGTGTTTTATGCATGCTGAACGCATTTTTTGAATTCATGATAGGATTGTTAGCGTGCCCATGGTCATGGCATCCACAACCCTAGGTCTTCACATCAGTTGCACTGTACATTTTGCACCACGCACCGTAAAACGAATTTCATCCTCTGTAACAGACACTATGCGCGCAGACTTGTTTAGCAACAACCTGCAGCGCTCAATAATCCCGTGCGACAGATAGGACGAAGTGCGCACGCGCGCACGCGCGCGCCGTCGCGAGCGCATGCCGAAATCCTTCGAAGGTTTCGTGCTGTCGTGCATCTCGTGTTTGGACGAGATGCGCGACAACACGCATAAACACTTGGTTTCGCAAGATGGGCTTCCAAACAAAAAACAAAACAAAAAACATTGTGCTCGCGATCTTGCGAATTCCCATAGATGTGTCAACGTGTTCATAACATGCTGCCAAGCGGGCTTCTTGCGCGCGCATGTCGAAATAACGCCCTTGCGCGCGTGCTGTCGCAAGCATATCTTGCAACTAGTGGGGCGACGCGCACGCGCGCGCGCGTCGTCGCGCGCGCATGCCGAAACCTTTCAAAACACGCAGGCGTTGCATGGGCTTCAAACACAGGTGTGCCACAAACATGTACACATGACGCGGCGATGGCCCCAACCATATGCAGGCGCGAGCATCGCGAGGCAGGTGGGGCGAAGGAGGGGGCAAGCAAAAGGCATGCGAACACCGCCATTGAGGCCTTCGGTGGAGCCTCCCATGGGGCCACGAAGCGCCACACTGGATGGGGGAACCGCATGTGGACATCGCCACTGGGGCCTTCGGCGGAAGCTCCCCTATGGGGGAACTGCATGCGGACGCCGCCACTGGGGCCATCGGCGGAAGCCCCCTGCGCAATGCTGGTTTGGGGAGGCGCATGCGGACACCGCCATTGGGGCCTTCGGTGGCTCCGTGTGGGGCCACAGAGCGCTGTGCTGGGCCAGGGAATCGCATGTGGACACCGCCTCTGGGGCCTTCGGTGACGCTCCCTCTGAGGCCGCGAGGCGCTGTACAGGCGGGGGGAACGCATGCGGACACCGCCACGCAGGCGTCGATCGAGGAAGCGCTGTGTTGGGTGGGGGAACCGCGCGTGGACACCGCCACTGGGGCCTTCGGCGGAAGCCCCCTATGGGGCCACGGATTGTTGTGCTGGGCGAGGAAATCGCATGCGGACAGTGCTTTTGACGCCTTCGGTGGAGCTCCCTATGGGGCCACGAAGCGCTGCACTTTCCGGGGGGAACCGCATGCGGACACCGCCACCGAGGCCATCGGCGGAAGCTCCCACGGGAACCGCATGCGGACACCGCCATTGGGGCCTCCGGTGGAGCTCCCTGTTGGGCCACAAGGCGCTGTAGTGATGGGGGAAACGAACGCGGACACCGCCACTGGGGCCTTCGTAGGAGCTCCCCGTGGGGCCACGAAAAGTTGTGCTTGGCGGGGGAGACAGAGGTGCGGATGGGAGGAGGGAGGAGGGAGGACGAGGGGGAGGAGGAGGAATGGAGGAGGAAGGAACGCGGGGCGCTGCCATTTCAAAATGAGGACCCAACCCCACAGGATTGTTGGGACAAACTCATGGCTTTGCAACAACAGCTATCACAAAACAACTTGAGTTCGAGGTCTTGCAGATTCTCAGGGAAACCATTTGATTTTCAACATGCTCTTCAAATTCTGCCAAACGGGCCTCTCGCGCCGCATGTCGAATTGTTTCGAACACCCCTGCGCGCGTGCTCGGGGGGGCGGGCACGATCCGAGTCACATAATTCCACGCGGGCCACTCACGCGCGTCGGCCGCGCGCGCATGCCGAACTCCTTCAACAACCTTCATCGCCGACGCGAAGGCATGGTCATCGTTATCGGCGGGCGTGATCAATATCGGCTCCATCATTGGCCTTGGCGTCGTCATCGCCACCATCGTCACCATCATCGTTACCTTCACAATCGTGTCAACCGGTGTGGGCGTCGCCATGATACCGGTCCCGCCCAAGTCACCGACTCGCACCGGAGTGTCCGCTGGGAAATGCCCAGCGGTCAGTGCCAACGCGGCCACGTCGGTCGCGCCAGACTAGCTGGCTATGTGCGCGCGAGCATTCGCGGGCTAGCGCGGCCGCAGAGATGCACCAGCCAACGCCAAGCACTCATCGCAATCGCCGCCGCATGGGTTTTGCAAACCAAGTTGCGGGTGGGCGGGGGGATGTTTGCAAGACCATGGAATATGTAAATTCGCTTGTGCAGAATAATCGCACACCATATATTTCACCACGTGGATTGCACCACGTAGATTGCACAACGCATTTTCTCCTCTTACAAAGAAGCTAGAATCTATCATTCCACGTGGCTGTGATTATCGCCCTTCCTGGGTTTGTGCAAGTTACACAGGATTCTACCCCATCGTCCATTCTATAATTGAACACGGGCCACCCCAGCTGAACCAAATGCTCCCCCCCCCCACACCATGCTCTACAGCAGAAGCACTCTTCGCGCACACGCGTTTATCAAAACCACCCATGTCCAAGAAGCATTTGCAAAACGCGTTGGACGAATTGCACACGCGAGCGCGTCGTCGCGCGCGCATGCCACGAGTTCTCGCACATTCAAGATGGCGTAGCGCTTTCAAAATGGAGCGCCCTGGAGCGTAGCAAACCACGTCGTTATGCAATGCGACTTTTCGAACAAGTGTTGCGCGCGCGTTCGTGGGATTGTTCAAGGACTGCGGTTTCGTTCTCATTCGGTTCATCAAATGCGACCAAGCGGGCCTCTCGCGCGCGCATGTCGGAATCATTCGAATGCTTTTGCACCCGTGCCCGGGGGGCGCGATCCCTATCACATAATACCATGCGTGCCACTCGCGCGCGCCGGCCGCGCGCGCATGTCAAAATTCTTCCAAGCCTTCACCGCCGACGCGTGGACACCATCGTCGTCACCTGCGTGACCAGCACCGGCGCCCTCATTGGCCTAGCTGTCGTCATCATCAGCGTCGTCAGTACCGCTACTATCATCATCGTGTCGGCCGTCGTCGACGTCGTCATCATACCGCGCCCGCTCGAGGCACCGACTCGCAGTGAAATGCCCGCGCGACAGCGAGGCCTGCAGCACACGATAGAATGTACCCAGCGGTCAACGCCACTGTGGCGGCGTCGGCCGCGCCAGTTTAGCTGGCCGTTCTACGAGCGAGCCTGCGTGCGTTAGTGCGGCCGCCGCGATGCGCCAACCAGCGCCAAGCAGTCGTGGCAATCGCTGCCGCATTGGTTTTGCAAACCAAGTTGTGGGTGGGTGGGGGGATGATTGATCGCACAAGTGACAATCTCAAGTTCGGCAAAGCGAATCGCACCACATATATCGTATAATGCACAACATAGATAGTTCGCACCACAGAGATTGCAGCAGCCAGCTTCCACCACATAGATTGCACCACAGACTTGTCTTACACCGATTGCTCCACATTGATTGTCCAATGTATACTGCGCGACACACGTTGCACAACATAGGCCGCACGACACCCATGTATACATGAAGGTCTATACGTTTATGTTTATGCGTATATCGCGCAACAAAAATGGCACAAACTCAATCACACCAACTTCGTTGCACCACGTAGATTGCACCACAGCTGCTGCCCAAAGTTCACAGAACATGGATTCCTACAAGCACCGGGATGCCCGCCCTGGTTTGTTTGACGCCGCCACGTGTCTCGACCTGCTGGGGGGCGAGCGGTGGTCGCCCCGCCCCCCCCCCCCCGCCGAGGGCAAGCGCGGCTGCCCCTGCCTCGGCAAGCGGCGCGGCAAGGGCAGCCCGAGGCAGGCCCAGGACGAGCGCGCTGCGGGCCGATGGGCTTTCGTGTGCCGTCGAGGGCCGAGGACTGTGGGGGGACAGGCTTCGAGGTCCGGTGATCGGGGTTTCCGGACGACGTCTTCCGACGAAGCAGCAATTGCAGAAACAGAACCTTGCGAAGGTCCGTCCGGATGTCTAAGATCGGCGCTGGGCCCCCCCTGGCGGCGCTTCCGGCGCCGCCCTTGGCGCGCTCCGCGCGCCAGGGAGGGGGGTCCAACGCGGATCCGAGAAATCCTCGCATACGTCCGAAGTTCTATGCCTGTGCAGTCCTTTTGTTCCTCTCTCGTCTTCGTCGGTTCTCGGCGGCCTCCAGCCCCCGGGGTGCTGTCCGGCAGCCGCGCCTCGCCGAGAGCGTTCTGGGGGTGCCCGGGCCGTGCCGCGCGGCCGCTGGAGGCCCGAGTGCTGGCCCGAAGGCCAGGCCCGCACCGTCTTGGCCAACGCGCTGTTCGGGGGGGCCCTTCTCGTCGGTGGGCCCCAAGCGGTGCGGCGACCACACCGTGCAGTGGGTCAGCGGGGATGCGGGGTCGCCGCGCGCTTTTGAGAGTTGGGTCATTGTCCGAGGGCGTCCGACTTTTTCGCCTGGATCGCTCTCTTGACGGCCCCGGGCCCCGCCGAGGGCCCACGGAGGCCGAACGGCCCAAAGTCTTCCGTCGCGATGTCTGGGTCACCTCCCTCCTCCTCTTCCCTCCTCCCGGCTTCTGAGAAGCACCCTTACTTCTTGGAAGGCGCAGACATTGTCTGTAGATGCAGGGCCGGCGCCTTCTTAAGGAGCAGCCTCCTTCCAAGAAGCCCTCACCCCTCCCCGAACCGCCTCTGCGCACGGCCAGTTTCTCCATGCCTCGGGGGGAGAGCATGCTGCTTCGCATGAGCTTGATGCCAATAAATGGCAGACGACTTGGATCCGTCAGTGGATCTTTCTTGTGCACCGACGTAGAAGCTATGACGTGTTTGTTGGTATTTGGGCCAGCGTGTGATGTTTCTTTTTGGTGGTGGGTTGTTCCTCCTTCGAGGCTCTCTCGGAGTTTGTTCCTGTTCCTGCTCGCTCCTGGTCGGCAGGCGGCACCCTGCACGGCTCCCTCATCCAGGGCCCCCCCTGAGGTCGGAGGAGGGCACCAGGCCCCTTCTCTTACAGCCAGCCCGCACGGTCCTCCAGGGTCTCGAGCCCCCTGGGCACATTCCTCAACGAACGCCCCCACCGTTTAACAAGGGTGCGCGATGAGGATGCGAATGCCTCGGAAGGACGTGCGAATGTTCTTCGAATGAGGTTGGCCAGCGAGAGTCGCTCAGAATGGGCCGAAGGGGCAAGGATGCAAGGGTAACCTTGGAAAGCCGCGCATCCTGACTATGCGGGTTGACTGCACCTTCGGGAGCCAGGTTGGGCGGTGCAGTGAATGGCGGATCCTCGCAAAGCCCACAGCGCCACCCACCCGACCAGCGTCCCGCCAGGTGCCATTGCGATCCGGCCGATCCAGGCCGGCCCGATGCGATTCGCTTCCGATGTTTGCTGTTGGAGGTAGGAAAGGGGTATGGTATAAAGGGGTGTGGTGCTAATTTCATGTAAAGGGGAATCTGGCGATGTTTTTTATCGCAGATAGCATCGCCGTTTTCACGATTGGACCATACCCCTTTATGCCACACCCCTTTCCGACCTTCAAATTGATGTTGGGGCGGTCCGATGCGGCCCGACGCCTGCCTGGCGCTGTTGTGCATCCTGCCGCAGCCACCCGATTCCATGCCGACTCCGTGCAGGTGCGGCCCGATCCGACGCACGGTCCGATCCGATCCGAGGCGTCGCTTCGGTGCTGACTGGTCCAGCGTCCCGTTCGAGCACGCCCCTCGCGAAGCCGCGCGAAGCCGCGCGGAGGAGGAGGAGGAGGGGAGGAGGAGGAGGAGGAGGAGGAGGAGGAGGAGGAGGAGGAGGGAGGAGGAGGAGGGGGAGGAGGAGGGGAGGGGAGGAGGAGGGAGAGGAGGAGAGAGGAGGAGGAGAGGAGGAGGGGGGGGGGGAGAAGCCGCGCGGAGAGCAAAACTGCACTCACATAAATTCGCTGGGCCCCTTCCTGGGCGGCCCCTCAGGCGCCGCCGCCGGCGCGCAAAATCATGCCAGGGAGGGGTCCAGCGCCGATCCAAGTAATCCGCGCGAGCCTCCCTCGCTTTATGCTCACATAACTGTTCCTTCCTCCATCGAGCACGCACCTCTCGGGGGACGAAATCTATACATATCCACTGCTCCCTGGCCAGGCCCATCCTGAACACAGCAGCTGTGTATACGCCACGCCCTCCTGGTTTGGCCAGGAGGGCGTATACACAGCTGCTGTGTTCAGGATGGGCCTGGCCAGGGAGCAGTGGATATGTATAGATTGCGTCGCCCTAACCTCGTGAAGCCGCGCGTCGCCATGCAGTCATCGCTGTGACTTGCAATAGGTGCAGGGTGGTTGCAGCCCCGTTGCAAGGCACTGGCAAGTGGGTAGCACGTCCGCCCGGCTGCTCCCAGGCGGATCCGCGACCTGCGCAGACTTGGAGGAGGAGGAGGAGGAGGAGGAGGAGGAGGAGGAGGAGGAGGAAAATGTAGGAGGAGAACGACGAGGGAAGGAGGAGGGAGGAGCCGCCCTCTGGCTGGCGCCCTGCAGGAGTGAGCTGCGACCTCCCTGCCGCTGCTGCGGGGTCGAAGCGGCCACCACCCAGGAGGCCACGTGCGAAGCCTGCCCCACCGCCCACGGGGCGGGGGGGCTCGTGGGGTGGTGGGCCGGGCTTCGCCCGTGGCCTCCTGACCACAGCGCCGCCACCCTCCCTCCCTCCTCCCTCCCTCCCTCCCTCCCTCCCTCCCTCCCTCCCCCCCCTCCCCCCCCCCTCGTGGCGGCGCGTGGCCCCGTGGGCCCAGGAGGCCGGCGATCCGCGGGAGGGGCCTCCCGCCGCGGAGCCGAAGGGGGACGGCGCGGACCACCAGGAGGGGGGGCACCTCCCGCCGAAGGGGGCGTCGGCGGCGCCCGCCGGCGAAGAGCAGGAAGAGAGCCTCCCCGTCGCGACAGCCTGTGGGCCTTGCCCTGTGTCGGGCCTCCCGGGGCCCTCAGGTCGACGCGGCTCAAAACATGGCGCAGAAAGGTGGGGTCCGGGGCCCTGGCCGTGATGTTTCATGATTTGTTTTTCGCCACGTCGGATCTAGGGCCTAGGGAAGCAAGTCCGAACCTTAGCCTCGCCGGTCGAAGATTCAGGCGACTCGGTGGTCGGTGGGGGTAGGGTTCGGAATTCTTCGAACACGTGGCGAAATCCGAACCCCTCCCCCGCCGACCATCGATTCAGGAGAATCGATGGTTCGGGGGAGGTAGGGTTCGGATGTTGTCTCCCAGGCGCCCACGATTCGGTGCGATCAACATGGGTACGGAAAGAGGGGGACAGCAGCTCCTGCTCATGTTGGACCGGACTCGCTGCCGGTGTCGCTGCGGACGCTGTCCGTTTGAGACAGAAGCCCGCCTGGCCCACAGCGGCTGTTGTCGGCCCTGGACAACCTTGTTCTTTGGCATCGTGCCCATGTTTTCCGTACCCCCTTCGTGCGTCCCCAGTCGAAGAACAAAAACCGGCAAGAACGGCAGTTTCCAGCTTCCAGGGGCCCTCGCCGGTCGGCGGTCAGGGCAGGCGCGGCGACCTCGACGAGGGATCACCAGAAGAGGAACTGCTCCCGCTACTCTTCCCTCGTCACCACGGCTGGGTTCGTCTCCAAGTCCTCGTCAGAACGCACCCTTGGAGAGGTCCAGGGAGGGGCGGCATCGGTATTCTCGATGAAGAAGGATAGCGGCATGAACATAAACTTGTGGCGCTCCGCGCGGATCTCTTGGATCCGCGCCGGGCCCCCCCCCGGCAGCGCCTCCGGCGCCGCCCCGGGTGGCGCGCTCCGCGCGCCAGGGAGGGGAGCCTCCAGCGCAGATCCAAGAGATCTGCGCCAGCCTGCGGAAGTTTGTTGCGAAGGCCTGGACGCTGACGTGGGCCAGAGTCCGCATGAATGCTTCTTGGGCTCTCTTCGAAGCGCTCCCTGTGGCCTCTGGGGGGAAAAGTGTGGGGGGCCTCTTGGGAGCCTCTGGGGGGCCTCGTGGGAGCATCTTGGAGGCCTCTCGGGGCTTCCTGGGGCCTCTGGGGGGCCTCTCTCTTAGATCCTCGTGGGAGCCTCTTGGGGCCGAGGGCTCGACATGTCCGTTCTGGTCCCTTTTCTGGGCGGGCCTGCGGGAGTTTATTTTTGTGTTTTGCTCGTCCTCCCGTCGTGCGAAAAATTCACGGCGGGAGGCTTTAGTTTTCGGCCTCCGAAGCTCTCGCCGGGGCCCTCGGACCGTCCAAGCACGATCCGTGGATGAGATGCCGCAGGGAGAGGTCCTGGACATCCAGGAGCCCAGCAGGGAGAAAATCAACCTGATGTCTTTTGGTTTCCGTCCAAGTGCATCCAAGGCCTCCGAGACGTTTCACAGGCCTCTCCTGGGGTTGGCTGTATTCCTTCGTGCTGCCAGACGTTTTTGAAGTGAAAGGGCCTGCAGCGGGCAAAACATACAGGCTTCTCGGCGATCTTCGGAGGTTCTCCGTGGGGGGAGGGGGGGGGGCCTCGGGCACGCCCTCAGAGGTGTGCCTGCGCTCGTAGATCTCATAAGTTTCGGGAGGGGAGCGTGCGTGGCCCCGCGGGGGGGCTTGCCGGAAAGAGGGGGCCCAGCAAGGACTCCCTCAGCTGTCCTGCCAAGTACGCTCTGAAGGTGTTTCCGAACGTTCTCGGAGGAGGACAGGGAAGGCTAGCATCTTGTGCGCTTCGATGTGTCGTGGTCGTGCTAATGTTTCGTCAGCGCCAGCCTCTGGCGAACTGTTCCCAATGACGAGACATACGATTGTTGCCATTACCGGCATTCCTCGAACACTTCAGAAGGGGATGTTGACAATAGCGTATGCAGTCAGACAGGGGGTAGTAGAAGCCAAAAGTGTCTCGAAGGCGTTGGTAGCTACTTCCAAGAGCGCATTAGAACGTGTTCTATAGCTAGATTCCTGAGGGCCCGCCCTCCTTAGCCAAAACAAGTCTTGGCTAGCTCAGGAAATTGCTTGCGACCAAAGGCATGCGATGTGCTGCAGAGGGGGGGTGCCTGCGTGCATACATGCCTGCTTGCGCGCGTGATTCCACGCATACGCGCGTGCATGAGCCATTCGTGCAGTCTTGCAAGTGTGGGCCTGCCTGCTTACCCGTTTTCATGCCCGACGTACTCAGATGTTTTTCTGCGTACGTTCATGGAGGAGGAAGAAAAGGAAGGAGGGATACTTAGGAGAAGTTTCCCGAACATCGTCCTGATCCTCGGTCTCCTCCTGGCCTTCTTCCTCACCAGAAAATTGATCTTCAATGGACGAATGACTCCTTCGAAAGCCCTCGCTCAAGCAACCATTGCTGCAATCACTCATATCCTCGCACGCAATGTGCACCAATGAAAAGGGCACGGTGCCGAGCAGCAATGTTCCCCGAACCTGCAACGGCCGCTGTTGTGCGGACGATGTTCTATCCAACTGTTTGCGGCAAGTTCCACCACCGTGCCAGCACAGCATTCTCGGTGGCCCTTGCGCATGGGAGACGGGAGGCCCTCACGTGTGACACTTCGAGCGGCGATAGGTGCACTCATTGCGGCGACGGTTGGAGCAACGCTAAACAGCCGCCACATGTGACAACAGTGTCCGATCGTGGGTTATATTGGTTTGTCTCAGGGCTCTCTGCGGCGACCGCTCGGGCAACGCCGACAGGCGTCACATGTGGCACCTCCGCCGTTTCTAGCTCGTCTTGCACTGCCGTGGTTTACTCGTTGAGCGAAGTACGAGAATGAAGCGAGGGAAGGACCTGTTCACGACAATGACGATGGTGATGAGGGTGTTGAGCATGATAATGATGATTGTAATAATGATGATGTTGATGTTGATGATGATGATGATGATGATGATGATGATGCTGATGCTGATGATGATGATGATGACGATGACGATGACGATGACGATGACGATGACGATGACGATGGTGGTGACGATGATGATGATCATGATCATGATGATGATGATGATCATCATCATTCTAGTGCCGATAATGGTGATGATGATGATGATGATGATGATGATGATGATGATGATGATGATGATGATGATGATGATGATGACGAAGACGAGGACGGTGGTTGGGATGATCAGGATTATTTAATCGCTTCGCTCATTCCGCCGGCCCATACAGTCTCATGTCTGCCGTTTGCCCGAGGGCCTGGTGTCAATGCGGCGCTTTGGGGGTTCCTGGGGCGCTCGGGGGGGCATTTGGGGGGCCTCCTGGGGCCGCTTGGGGGACTCTTGGGGGCCTCCTGAGGGCCTCGTCGGGGCCTCTTGGGGCCTCTTAGGGGCCTCTTGGGGCCTCGGAGGGGCTTCTTGGGGCCGAGGGCTGGAAATGTTGTTTCGTGTTCCCTCTCTTGGGGCGTTCTTGGGGCCCTCTTGGGCCGTCTTGGAGGCTTCTTGGGCCGTCTTCGAGCCCTCTTGGGCCATCTTGGGGCCCTCTTGGGGGCCTCTTGGGCCCTCTTGGGGCGATCTTGGGGGCCTCTTGGGCCGTCTTGGGGCGTCGGGAAGCCGAAAAGGTGGAAGCTCCAAAATCTCTCAAAAACCTAAGGAAAATCAATGAATTTTGCCTCCGGAGGCCCTCTTGGGAGTGCTCTTGGAGGCCTCTTGGGGCGTCTGGGGGCCATCTTGGGCGTCTTGGAGCGATCTTGTGGCATGTCGGACCCCTCGTGTACCATCTTGGGGGCCTCTTGGGGGCCTCTTGGTTTTGTTTGGGTCCTCGGGGACGTTTTCGGAGCCCTGTTGGTGCGCTCATGGGGCGCTCGGGGGGACCCGGCCGGGACCCGGCCGGGACCCGGCCGGGGACCGGCCGGGACCTGGTCGGGGTACTTTTCGTCCGGGGACCCCCAGGGGCCGCCCCGCGCGCGCGAACTAGAGAATTATTAACCAGTTACCGGAGATCTTAGCACGCCTCTGGCCCGTTGGGCCGGCGAATTAGGATCAGGAGGACGAGGAAGGGCAGGAGGAGCAGGAGGTGGAAGAGAACCGTCAAACGTGACACCTTTTCGTCTTCACTTCTCGACGAGCTCCATTGAAAATTCTTTGGGCTGTCTTGGGGCTGTCCTGGGCTCCTGTGGACAGTCTTGGGTGTCCCCTAGGGCACTCTTGGACCGTCTTGGGGGCCTCTGTGGCCATCTTGGGCTTCTTTTGTGTTCCTGTTGCCCGTCTGGGGGTTCTCTTGGTGCCGTTGTGAGGCCGTCTTAAGCCATCCAGGGGTCACCTTAGGCCGCCGTGTGTCCCTGAGGAGGTCCTTTTGGGTCACCTTGACGTTCTCTTGGCCTTCCAGGGCCCTCTCGGGCCGTCTCGAGGCCGTCTCGGAGGCCTCTTGGGCTCTCGTGAACCCGTCTGGGGTCGTCTGAAGGCCATTCTGGGGGCCTCTTTGGCCATCTTGACCGAGCATGCGAGAATGCGGCAAACTTTGAAATTCCGACGGGAAATCAATGAGGTTGGCATCTTCGGGCTTTGCTCAGAATTTTGTTGGATGCGTATTCAAAGGCTCTCGGGCAGTCCTGAAGCCGTCTTGGGCTGCCTTGGGGCCATCTTGGGTCGTTTGGAGGCATCTTGGGCCATCCTGGTGGCCTGGATAGCCTGCCTGGGCCATTTTGGAAGCCGAAGCCATCTTGGAGGGAGCCAGGGGCGTGCCTGGGCGCCGACGGAGCGCCTCGGCGAGCGGGGGCGCTGCGCGCGGGCCGGCGCTCCGAGAGGGCGGCGGTGGATCCTCCTGAGGGGACCGAATCGCTACCAGACCGCGCTCGGCATTCCGGCACGCCTCCACGTGCCAGGGGGCACAGCGGTCGGGAGCGGAAAAGAGGGGGGTGATGATTAGGGGGGGGTGGATATCATGGCGTGGGCCATGATATTTCCCCAGATCTCATGGCGCCTCTTCCTATTTCATCACGTCCCTGGCCCCCCCGCTGGGCCGCGCACATGCCGCGGGTCATGATTTGCACCCCCCCTCTTGGACACCCCCCTCTTGGCCGCTCCCGAGGGGCACAGCGGCGGATCTCAAGCCTACAACGCCCGTGGCGACGCCGGCAGCGATTCCTCGGCAGAGCGGGCAGGAGTTTGCTGTCGGTCTTCGTCCCCAGTGTTGTCGTACCGATTCAACTCCGGTCGTACTGCATATCCCCCCCCTCTCCGTCCTCCTCCCCCACCTCCGTCGGGGAAGGAGGGGCATGCAGAGGGTGGACTGGTGGTGGGTGCATCGAGGGCATGCGTAAGCTACGCTCCTGGGTGTTCTCATCGCGGGCGTGTGTTCGGTCAAACCATTTGTTATCGTGTCCGTTGACTGCCCTCTGCTTGTGATGCGAAGCGCTCGGCTGTCTAGTCGCGGTGTTTGGATACCATGGCTGTTCTCATATGTGGTTCCGTGCGAGATCGCAGCAACAAGTTTGTGATTCGCGGTCATACGATCATACGATTCCCGATGTTTGCACGGCTTTTGTTTTGCGCTACCCAGGGCAAGAACATCGTCATGGTGCAGAAAGGCGGAGCGAATGTGAAGTTGACGCAGGTATTGATGGACATCAACTTCCAGGCTTCTCATGGGCCACAGAGTTATGCATACATAGCCTGAGTGGTGTCACTCCCGCGGCTGAATAGTGGGGCGCTTGAACTGTTGGGGGAAAGCGCTGTTGCTTCCCTGTCTCGGGGCCGACACCGTGTGGTGAGCCAGTGGGGATTCGAGGTGACCGCGCGGTTTTGGGACTTGGGTCATTCTCCAGGGATATCTCGAGCAATTGGGACCTCCAGGGTCCCAAAATCTTGCGGTGACGGAGCGTGCGGTGAGGCCTTTCGAGGTATCGTGTTCAACGCACGGTGCGTCACCGCATTAATTTGGGCCTCCCAAGTCGGTCTTCCTCGTCCTCCTCGTCCTCCTTGTCTCCCTCGCCCTTCACTCTCCACAGCTGCTTGGGACCCAAGGCGTTGATAGAAAAAGGAGGCGATGCGATCTCGCATGCCGCCCGTGGTGTGCAGTGCCCATCGGTCGTTGAAAGCAGGTAGGTATTCCTGGATCCCCAGACCACGATCTACTTTAGGTCCCTTCCTACTTCAATCGTTGAGTAGTGTTCCCCCTTCCTTCATCTTCAGGGGGCGGGCGGAGACCCAATATGCTTCCACCGCCGTTCTACTTCATGTCTCTACCCATTGCGTCCGACCGATGGCTAAACGGATGGCGCGCTTTAGGGGCCGCGTTCTTGGCAATGAATGGCGGTGGGCCCGCTGTGTGAACACTTTTTGTGTGAGGGAAGGCGGCCGCTAGCCTTTCGGGACCAAGCCCGTGGTGGGAGGATTTCCGCAGGTGGTTGCCGCGCTTATGGGATGAGGCGTTTGGCGACTGTCTGTGGCTCACGCGCTTTCGGCACAATGTCTTTCGAGGGGTGACGGCCAGCGCGCTTGCGGGGCCGACTTTGTGCGAGGGACGGCGACCAGGGCAGATTGAGGATTGCGGCCAGGGCAGTGTGGTGGCCGGCGTCTCTTACGGTGTGCGGTGCACGGTGACTAATGCGTGTTGGTGTGTACGTTTTCGGAGCAGTTCCTGACGAGGGATGGCGGCCGACGCGCGTTCGAGGAAATGGTTTTCTGATTAGCGAAGTCGGGCAGCGGGATTTCGGAACCACGTTTTTTTACCAGGGTTGGCGCGCGGTGCCAGCTCACATGTGCCCCATATGTTTCTACGGTAGCATCCAGATAAATCTCGCAGTCCTTCTATTGCTGATCTCCTGCCTATCCCTCGTCCTCATTTATCCTCACAGATCTCATCCCTCCTGTTCTTATCCTCGTCATCCCACCCCTCCTCCTACCCTGCAGAGCCCACTTCGACTCAATCGATCAGTTGCGATGCCGAATTTGCAAGGCTCGATCCGATTCGATTGTGATCTTTCGGCGATCCGATGCGGCCCGATGCCTGCACAGCGTAGTTGCGCATCCGGGCGCAGCCGATGCGATTCGAACTCGACTCCGAACCGATGCAGTTGCATCGTATGCCCGCTCCGATTTGATCGGATCTCGCGATTCGATGCTGACTGATCCTGCTCTGTCCCTCCAAAGCCCTCCTGCCTCTCGTCACCTCTCTCCTCCGCCATGCCGTCCTGTATGGGTATGTCAGCAGGCAGGTCATGGAAGGTCAGATTCAGCATCGGCGCTGGCTGGTCTATCCGTGGTCGAGAGCCATTCTAGCCCGGCCTGGCCCTGGTCACCTTCGCCTGGTTCGCTCAATCCGGTTTTTCATCTGCGGGCGTTGGGCGAATCTGGTTTAGTGGCCCTTGGATTTGGCCTACAGTCAATCCGAAAAAGGATGGGCAACCTTCCCAAGGCTACCCTTGCATCCTTGCCTCCTCGGTTCATCCTTGACCGCTTTCGCTGGCCGCGCCCCGTTCGCAAAGTGTCGGCATGGCTGTCTCAGGCTCTTGCACCCTTACTGCGCATCCTTATGACACGGATTGACTGTAGTAGGTGTCAATCGCTCTTACAAGATGTCAACCGATCTTGCAAGGACCTCAGACAGATTCCTCGCAAATGTCGGGCGCACCTGGGCGTTGCATGGGCGCACCTGGGCGCTGCCTTGCAAATGTTGGGCCGCACCTGTGGGCGCTGCATGGGGGAGCGCCGCCCGCAGCGCTCCTCGGCGGCCGTCGCTTTCTCGCAGCGAGGGGGGAGGCGTTGCCCTTCCGACGCGACGCGCTCGGGGGGGCCCACTCCTTCCGCCGGGTCCGTTCAGAAGGGCGCCTCGGGAGAGAAGGAGGGAGGAGGAAGGGAGACGAGAGTGAGGAAGGAGGGGAGTAGGATGAGGAGGAGGAGGAGGACTAGTGCAAACGATGTCGGAACGAGCCCTCCCTCCAAGCTCTCTCTTCACAGGCCCCTGCAACGGTTCATTTCCATTGAGGGAATTGCCTCGTTGGAAGACGACCGTTTGAAGATCCTGAAGCATGCCAAAACATGGTTCTCGGGAGTTCAACGCCACGTATAAACCTGACTGCTGCGTCTCGACGATCCGGAATCGTGCCAGAACGCCTTTGTCTCGACTTCAACATCGCGAGTCAACATAATTGTTGCACCCGCGTAAGCCTGAATCCGTCCAAAACACCGTTTCTGGTACGTTGATCATGGGAGCCCATGAAACTCTTGCAAATGTTGCAAACGAATGTACGCGGCGCTAAGGCGAGAGCCACATTTTGAAAACGACCCGCCCTCCACTTGTGAAACCGTTATCACTGTTCAAGCTTCAGAGTCATTATTGGTGAGGAGGTCTCAGGCGAAACGCCCGGCCCGCCCTAAAACTTGGCCTCGGGGTGCGACAGGGAGAAGATATCTATAAGGAGAAGGAGTGGAGGAGGAGGAGGAGGAGGAGGAGGAGGAGGAGGAGGAGGAGAGATGGGGAAAAGGAGGTGCAGGAGGAAGGTGAGGAGGAGGAGGATAAAGCGGAGGAGGAGGAGGAGGAGGAGGAGGAAGCGGAGACGAGGAAGCGGAGGCGACGAAGAGGAGGAAGAGGAATATGAGGAGGAGTAGGAGGAGGAGGAGGAGGAGGAGGAGGAGGAGGAAGTTGTCACCAGCCACCCAAGTAGACCTGTGGACAGTGCGGTGGAGAAGAAAGAAAGGGAGGCATGAACGAGGAGGACGGGGAGGGCAATGATGAGGTGGAGGAGGAGGCAGCCCTGAGCGGCGGGGCTTGCTGACAGCAAACAGCTGGCAGCGAGCAGATGGCAGGCAGCACCACCATCAGAAGCAGCACCAGGAGAAGGAGGAGCAGCGGCAGAAGCAAGCAGCAGCACGAGGAGGAGGCGGCGTAGGATGAGGAGGCGATACAGGACGGCAGGAGACCGAGCGGTAGCGAGAGGGGCACCAGCCACGTGGACGAAGGTCGGCAGTACACTCGGCTGGTATGTCCAGGACCCGTGCCTGTACAGTCGACCCGTATCAAAAAGGATGCACGATAAGGATGCAAGGGCCTTGGAAGGCCGTCTAGAAATTTTTCGGGCAGGGCGCGGTCAGCGAGAGCGGCCAAGGATGGAACGAGGAGGCTAGGATGCGAGGGTAGCCTTGGGAAGGTTGCCTATTCTTGCAGTGCGGGTTGACTGTACCTTGGAATACCCCCTCGAGGTACCACTCCAGCCCGCAGGCCTCACCTCGGCTCCCCAGGCGTGTTCATGGCAAGCCAGCTCGTCGTTTCCCACCAGAGGAGTCCTCAACATAAGCGCCGAGTGTGCAGCCAACAGCAGCAGCTGGAGGAGGGCGGCCTAGGAAAAGCCCACTGGCGGATGCCGCCCGCAACCGAGCTCAGGCGGCGCCGGGCCGTCTCACCGGAGTCTTCGGGCCCGCGGCTCAGCGATCCCTTCGGCGCGATCTTGTTTTTATCATCATCTTCGTCCCGGTCCTCCTTTTTGTTTGTCCCGCTCTTCCTCCTACTCCACGTCCCCATCTTTTTCTCTTTCCCCATCATCCCTCACTCCCATTCTCTCCCCCACCCTCCTCCCACTCAGTGAAGAAGTTAGCGCTCATGAAACAGTGTCCGAGCCAGAGCGACTACGGATTATTCCGAAATCGTTTCTCGCAAAACCTTGATTGTTATAGACCAGTTGCTGCTGATTGCTGCGCCGTGCATGTGTCTGGACATCTGGCAGCAGGCCTGTTTCTTAGCACGGTTATTCGGCTTTAGGTGAGAGCGGCGATCGAATGACACATGGCAATAGGCCACATCAAGACCGCCGCTCACCTGCCATGTGAAATTTCCCGTCACGGGATTCACGAACCTCAAACTTAGAAGTGTACAGCATTTGTTCGGAGCGCTCTTTTTGTGTTCAGGCCTCCTCGCCCAGTCCAGACAATGCCAAATCATCCACAAGCATCAGCACTGTTTAGTTCGAGCTGCTAACTTGCTGCGCAATACCACTAGGAGCTATCAGTCTTGTCCCATGAAGCGCTGCACGACTTAATCACTTGCGTCGTCGCAGTCCAGTGTGCAATTGGCACCTCTGGCCGAATGTGTGCATGTAGAGCTTGATGGGAAACGTCGTCGCCACCTCGCTGTCGTGAGCGTTTATCTGGATGTGGTTCGACAGGGTCTCCATGTCCTTTGTCATTCGAGCTGTGAGTGTTTTGTGTGGCGCCAGGCCCGCGACACTTGTTGGATAATCACAGCTGGCTCGTGTATCCGCGATAGTCGACCTTGTTCCGTGGTGTGTGTAGCCATCGCCGTTGTTGCGGCCGCCATGTTGGATTATTCGGCTCCTGTTGAGTTTTGTAAAATCATCGTGAAGATCGTTCTGTCAGTGCCTCCCCTAGATTCGACGATGGATCACGCTGACTGCGCTGGTTATGCCAGCACTTCCTTTGGGAACGCACTCCAGCCTTCTCTGATCTCTGTGGCCTCCACGCCTAGCAGTTTAAGATGTATGCCCATTGACCCGAATGTGATACCACTCCGATGCCGCTCTGTGGTTGCGCCATTTGGACACGGCTTAGAGCTCGCGGGCAACATTGTGGTTTTGTAGCACTCCAACAGTAGGTACGATGTCTGTATCCAAATATATATATATATATATATATATATAAAGCCATAGCTCGTAGTGCACGGTGGCTGCAATAGTCGCGGGGTCCCGTGTACGGGGCGGCTCTTCCTGATCGACGCATCGTGTCCCACGTCGCCGCTGACAAATTATCCTGGCGAAAGACCTAACCATACGCATGTGTCAATGCCGCAATTGTATGCCCGGCCCTCGGTGGAGCTCCCCATGGGGCCACGAAACGTGTGCGGGATGTGGCGAAGTGGGCGCGGTGGCGCCATGCGAGCCAGGGGGAGGAGTAGGAGTGACAGCGGGAGGAGTGATAACGTTGGGCGCTGTCTCTTCAAAACGAGGACCCAGCACCACAGGGGGTGTGAGGGGTGTGAACCACGAAGCGCGTGAGGGGTGTGCGACGACATGGGCGCGGTGACGCCATGCGAACTCTGCCACTGGGGCCTTCGGTGAAGCTCCCTAGGGGGCCACGGAGCGTGTGAGGGGTGTGCCGAAGTGGATGCGGTGGCGCCATGCGAATCTTGCCACTGGGGCATTCGGTGGAGCTCCTTATGAGGCCACGCAACGTCTGAGGGGTGTGCCGAAGTGGATGCGGTGGCGCCATGCGGACCCTGCCACTGGGGCATTCGGTGTAGCTCCCGATGGGGCCACGAAGCGTCTGAGGGGTGTGCCGACATGGGTGCGGTGGCGCCATGCGAACGCTGCCATTGTGGCCTTCGATGGAGCTACCTATGGGGCCACGAAAGGTGTGAGGAGTGTGCCGAAGTGGGTGCGGTGGCGCCATGCGAGCCCGGCCATTGGGGCCTTCGGTGGAGCTCCCGATGGGGCCACGAAGCGTGTGAGGGGTGTGCCGAAACAGAAACATACGGAGGGCAGAGGCAAGGAGCGGGATGAGAGAGAGAGTGATGGAGAAAGGAGGAGGGGGAGGCGTAGGAGTGGCAGCGGGAGGAGTGATGACGTTGGGCGCTGTCTCTTCAAAACGAGGGCCCAGCATCACAGGACGGTTGGGAAAAAGTACGTGGGTGATGGACCAGGCGGGCCTGCAAAGAACGCAGAACGCGGAAGCAGGTGCAACAATCATGCAGAAGGAGAGGAGGCAGAGGCGGCGAGCAGCCATTTGGGCATTTGCATCACCGTCCAGGCAAGAGCTACGCAGAACTCAAGGGCGAGTGCCCCGTATGATTGTCAGCCCACCTCGAGCCATTGGCTCAAGCCCCCCTGGCTCAAGCCTTGATTCAAGCCCTGGCTCAAGGCAAGGCAGGACTGGGCGGCCCCGCGACATCCGCGCGCGGCAGGGGGCCGCGCCTGGCATGTTGGGAGAGGGTGCCCGCGGCCCTTTGGAGCCTGGCGGCCCAGCCGCCGGGGACGCGGCGCTGGCCGGCGCTGGGCATCTGGGGCCAGGGCCCCCATGTCGGCCCGAACCCCACCCGCCCTCTTCTTTGCCCTCGCAGGGCCCCTCTGAACCCGACCTCGACGGCAGCGACGGCGACTCGGACGGCCGACCCGTGCGCCACGGGGAGCCCGCAGCGCCATCGCGCCTCCCCGCAGGGGCCAGGGTGCGCGCCTGGTGCTGGCGACGCGCCAGCCGCAGCGCTGGCGGTGCCCCCCTCGCGCCTCCTCGGCTCCGCCAGACCGCTGCAGCGGCACCGAGGCGCCCCACTTCCGTGGCAGGCATTGCCCGCGGCCAGGCGCCGATGCGGCGCCACCGCCAGTCAGCAGCGCCACCATCGTGGCGGCGGCGAGCAGCCAAGGGACAGAGGGGGCGGAGGAAGAAGAGGAGAAGCGAGGTCAGAGGGTGAGGGCGCAGACGAGGAGGAGGAGGAGGAGGAGGAGGAGGAGGAGGAGGAGGAGGAGGAGGAGGAGGAGGAGGAGGGGAGAGGAGGAGAAAGGAGGAGAAGGAGGAGGAGAGAGGAGGAGAAAGGAGGAGGAGGAGGCTGGCCAACTTTCTTCAAGATCCGCTCGGGCTGGGGCGAGCAGCGCTGCCCCTCCGCACAGCCCAGTAAGCCATGACCTTGCGGGCGCCCTCTTTGGCCGTGCCGTCTGCAGGTCCTCCGGGCGGCGGCGCAGCACTGCACGCCGGCTTCTCCACACGACGACGGCCCAGGCGGCACTAGCGGCAGCGGCCTCTCGAGGGTCAGCGTCCTGCGGAGCTCCCGCTCCCGTTGCCCCCTCACTCGACCCTCGATCCTCGACCCTCGACCCGCGACACTCGAATCCTCGATCCTCGATCCTCGAGTCCTCGATTCTCGAATCCTCGATCCTCGAATCCGCGATCCGCGATCCTCGACTGCGAGGAGGGTGCCGCGCCCTGGCGCCTGCTCCACCGCCGAGCGGCTCCGCTGCCGCCACCGCTCGCGCGTGGCCGCCAGGCGGCGGCTGCCGTTGACGCGACGGAGCAGCGGGCCACCCCACCCCCCCGGCGTTGGCCACCCTGGCCGGAGCTCCCAAGGGGCGCCGCCCTTGCAGCCAGCATTTTCGGCACTCAGCCCCCCCGCTTCTGAGAAGCAGCGCGCGGCCCTGCGACAGGGCGCGCTGCGCTTCATCATGGCGGTCGACCGCGACGAGGTCCCCGGTGCAGTGGCAGTGACGGGTTGACTGCGCAGGCTCCGCCTCTTCGTCACCAGTATGCGGCAGGCGGCTGCGGTCGGACCAGACTACTTGTGGAGCCGCGTTGCGCACCCCCTGAATGGGGGCACCGCCTGCGACGGGGACTCCCAGATGTGGCTGCTCCTTCGAAGGGACCTCGACATGGGGACGGGGATGGGTGCGGCGTGTTCGCGCCTCGTGAAACCACCGAGGGGTGGAGCCGCAGATTTCGATGTTTCGTCACAGAAATCACAGAGCGATGGTAGAAGCGAGGATGCAGGACGAATCTGGGTCGCCTAGCGGAGGACCCAACTCAGCTCAACCGCGTGATAGAGTGGGGGGCCGTCTCTTCAGATGATGTGGACAGCGGGAGCGAGGCAGCACAAGAGGTGCAGACGGAAGGATGCCGCATTCTCATTTCGAAAGGCGAGAGGGAGGGCGAAGGGAGAAGCGGGGAATCGGGACATATTTGGGAGTCTGTTCATCTTCTGGCCGATTAATGATCGCCCTCTTGTTGATAATGTGATTTCATCTTCCTCCCCCTTCGGGCTTCTTCCTCTTCGCCATGCCCCCTCTTCCTCAATTCCTCTTCTCCTCCCTCCTCCTTTTTTCCCCCTCCTTTCTCCTTTTCCTCCTGCGTATCCTCCCTCTCCGCTCCCTCGCTATGGGACAAGATCGCGCCCCGTGCTCCCATGACGCTGGGAGGGCCTCCCCCAATTCGACCTCAAGCGGAATTCCTCATGGGACACGATCAAGTGAAGGGTTGTGCCGACATGGGGGGGACGCATGCAAGCTCTCTCTCTCTCTCTCTCTCTCCGTCTCTCTCTGGGGCCATAGGCTCTTCAAGGGGCGCGATCCGCGCAAGGAGCTTGGCGACTTCGGCGGGGGGGCCGCCTGCGAGCGCCCCGCTGGGGCCGCAGGCGTGGCTCCCTGAGGGGGCACGATCCACGCCGGCGGCGGGGGCGCGCGCGAATGCCCCCACCCTGGCCGCAGGTGGAGCTCTCTACGGGGCGCGGCCCGCGTCGGGGGCGTGAGCCTGAGCACTGCCCCACGCAGCGACCGCTGGATCCGACGGCACCCCCGGAAGAAACCGGAGGAGAGGGAGGGCGCGAGAGCGAGGCGGCGGCGCAGGGCCGAGGGAGGCGAGGAGCACGAGGGGCCGGCCAGGACGAGCGAGCTGCCAATGGCGAGGCGGGAGCGCGCACGGAGGCCGACCCGCTGGCAGCAGCAGCAGCAGCAGCAGCAGCAGCAGCAGCAGCAGCAGCAGCAGGAGGAGGGGGCGCGTGGCGGGAGGCAGCGCGCGTGCGCGGCGCAGCAGAGGGAACACGAGGGCCCGCCTCCAGAGGAGCGCCCCAGAGGGCTGGGAGCCGGCAGCACGTCTGCAGCCCGTCTGACCTCGCGCGGGCGCGGCTGCTTCTCGTCCTGTCTGCGGTGGGGCGGGGTGGGTTCTCCTGCGGGCGCGCGCTGGTATGATGATGGCAAGAATGGCGATAACAATAATGATGATGATGCTGATGATGATGATGATGATGATGATGATGATGATGATGATGATGATGATGATGATGATGATGCTGCTGATGATGATGATGATGATGATGCTGATGTTGATGCTGATGCTGATGCTGATGCTGATGCTGATGATAATGATGATGATGATGATGATGACGATGAATATGATGATGATGATGATGATGATGATGATGATGATGATGATGATGATGATGATGATGATGATGATGATGATGATGATGATGATGATGATGATTATGAGGAGGAGGATGACGATGACGATGATGAGGATGATGGTGAGGAGGAGGATGAGGAGGATGAGGATGATGAGGATGATGAGGATGATGACGAAGAAGACGACGACGATTACGATGACGATTGTAACGCTGATGATGATGATGATGTTGATGATGATGGTGGTGGTGATCCTCATCATCACCGTCATCATCACCAGCATCATCATCGACACCATCACCACCATCATCACCAAAACCATCATCATCATCACCATCACCATCATCATCATCGCCACCATCATCAACAACATCATCATAATTCACATCAGCATCATCATCGACATCAGCATGCTCATCACCATCAGCATCATCATCATCATCCTTTTCAGCATTATTAGCATCATCAGCAGCATCATCATCATCCTAGGGGGTCGCGCTCCCTAGCCGCACACGTCAGCGGGGTAACCCTTGAATCAAAAGTTTTCGATTGTGTTCTCGCGCTCGTGCAGGCCTCCGTGAGCCAGCAACGCTAGCGTACGGCGGCCCTTCGCGTCGTTTCGGTCTGGCTGCCGCAGTCGCCTCCCCTGGCCGAGGCAGGTGGGGTCCGGAAAGTCTTTGCTCCTGCACAGTGTTTTTAATTAGTCTGTCTGTCTACGTCCCTCTTCATCCTCCCCCTCCTCCTCCCCCTCCTCCTCCCCCTCCTCCGCCTTCCCCTCCTCCTCCTCCTCCTCCTCCTCCTCCTCCTCCTCCTCCTCCTTCCCCTCCTCCGCCTCCTCCTCCTCCTCCTCCTTCTCCTCCTCCCGCGCCTCTGCGTCCCTCCTCCTCCTCCTCCTCCTTCGTCCTCCTTCGGCCGAGGCAGGTGGGGTCCGGAAAGTCCTCGCTCCTGCAGTGCCTGCTCGGCGAGACCGAGCCGCTCGGGGGCAACGCCGGGATCCGCGGCACGGCGGGGCGCGGCGTGCGGCCAGACGACGACAACGACGACGACGACGAGAGCGGTGGCGACGACGACGACGACGACGACGACGGCGGCGACGACGACGACGACGCCGACGACGACGACGACCACGGCGGCGGCGACGACGACGACGAAGTCGGCGACGACGACGACGGCGACGACGGGCGCGCGGGCGCAGCGGCCTCGGCCGCGGTCCACGGACGCAGCGGTCCTCGGTCCACGGTGTTGTCGTTGTCGTTGGTGTTGTTGTTGTTGCTGCTGTTTTCTTCTTGGTGCTGTTGTTGTTGCAGCTGTTGTTTTTGCTGAAACTGTTGTTGTTGTTGTGGTTGTTGCCGTTGCTGTCGTTGTTGCTGCTATTGTTGGTGGTGGAGGTGTTGTTGTAGTTGTTGTTGTTATGGTTGCTATTGCTATTGTTGTTGGTGTTGTTGGTGAGATCTCATGTCTAACGAACAATTATCATTGATCCCCCCATCCAGGGCACATGATTTTTTCCATTGAAGTGTCCTTCCCGGGGCTCACACCCTTTTTTTTTTTTTTTTAAAAAAAAAAAAAAAAAAAAAAAAAAAAAAAAAAAAAAAAAAAAAAAAAAAAAAAATCCGGGAAAGTAGTTGGTCTCAGAATTGTGTTGTTTGCTTTTGGTTTATAACAGCAGCGGCTCCCGCCTGGTGTTTCCTCACAGTTGATTCCCAAATCGCGCTCTCGCGCGGGACGTTCTCGCAATTTATACAGGAATCGCTCTTTCGCATGGGAATACCTTCAAAGTTATTCAGACGCCGCGCCCTCGACACTCAAGAATCACGCTCTCGCTGTGCATTTCACGATTTATTTAATCGCTTCGCTCATTCCGCCGGCCCTTCTTGTCGCACCTCTGTCGATTTGGGGGTGTATGCCTGAGGGGGTCGCAGTGACTGTGGATTTGGTTTCGGGGGTTCGTCGCAGATTCTGGCGGGGATGTCCTGGGGCAATCGTGGGTGATCACGGGTCTGGTCCGTGATTTGCTTGTGTCGGCCAGGAAGTGATGATTCTTGGTGGTCGCTGTGGGGCCATGTGCAGATCGGAGGTATTCGTCGCAAGTTTGAGCATTTCCGTTTTGGAGGGTGGCGGCTTGTGAATGCGACCGCAGGAAGAGGAGGAGAAAGAGGCGGATGAGGAGGACGAGGAGGAGAGTGCGGAGGACGAGGAGGAGGAGGAGGAGGGAGGATGAGGACGAAGAGGAGAAAGGGGGAGGAGGAGGAAGAGGAGGATGAGGAGCAGGAGGAGATGAAGCCTCTTGGGCCCCCTTGGCGGTCTACTAGGCCGACACGAGGCCATCTTGGGCGACCTGGGGCGGGAGCGGGCGGGTCCTGCAGGGAGAGGGGCGCCTGGCAGGATCCATTTCGATCCGATTCGAGGTTTTAGGTGTTCCAGGCTCTCTGGGAGGGCCTCTTGAGGCTCTCGTGGGGCTTCTTGGCGGCGTCATGGGCCGTCTGGGGGCCATCTTGGGCGTCTTGGGACGATCTGGCGGGTCGGCAAGCTAGGAAGTTCAATTCGAGTTCCCCCGACGGGGCCCCTCTTAGGGCTGACTTGGGCTGTCCAGGGGGTATCGTGGGCCGTCTAGGGGCCCTCTTGGCCCGTGTTGGGCCCATGTTGGGAGTCTGTTGGGCCGTCTTGGGGTGATCTTGAAGGTCTCTTGGGCAGTGCTGGACGCGCTGGACCTCGAAACGCACGTTCTCTAAAGGGAATGAGACACCTTTTGTGTGTTGAGGCTCTCTAGGAGAGCCTCTTGAGGCTCTTTTGGGGCTTCTTGGCGGCGTCTTGGGCCGTCTGGCGGCGACCGAGCGCCCCTCGGACCGTCTCGAGCACGTCACGGGGCTCTCTTGGAGCGTTTCTTGGGCGCTCAGGAAAGCCTCGGAGGCAGCGCCGAGGAGGAAAACCATCTCTGGGTCTCACCTTGCGGGGACCTGGCCGGGTACTGTTCGTCCGGGGGCCCCCAGGGGCCGCCCCACGCGGGCCAACCAGAAAGTTGTAAACCATTTACCGGAGTTCTTAGCACGCCTCTGGCCCGTTGGGTCGGCAAATTTGGAAATCGCGCTATCTCTCGAGATTTCCTCGCGATTCATTCAGGACGCACGCTTCAGCAATCCGCCTCGACCTGGACGCCTGGGGCCGCTTTCCCGACCCGCCCGTTAGGGTCTATCCGCCCGATCTGCCCGTCTGGTTCTGCCACGTGTTTTCTGCTCCTGGCCCCCCTCCTGCTACTCTCTCTCTCTCTCTCTCTCTCTCGTTCTCCATCCTCCTCCTTCCCCCTTGTCCCTTCGTTCCATCCGTCTTCTCTTCTCCTGCCTCAGGGGCTGCACGAAATACACGCTGCAGGCAAGAGATATATGTACCCCCAAAGAGAGCACGATCGAAGACGAAGAGGGCGGGTATCGAGTGAGAAGATGAGAGCGACAAATTTTGAAATGATTGCTGTTGTTGCTGTTGTTGTGCGGAGGCTGGGGAGAAGGAGGAGGAGGAGGAGGAGGAGGAGGAAGTGCAGGGGAGGAGGAAAGAGACCCAGATTTCCGACGATACGTTATCATTAACCAGCGTTTCTCGATGTGTGCCTCCAGGGCCCGTGGTCGGGCCCCGGGGCCACCAAGCTCCGCGGCGAAGGACTTGCCTCAGGGAAGCTCAGCCACGCGCAGAGAGGGGGGTGGGGAGGGGGGAGGGCTCCTTAGAAGCACCCCCTGCTTCCTTGAAGGCACGGGCCTCATTTAGAGGAGATGTAAGGCCCAGCGCCTTCTGAGAAGCAGCCCGCCCCCCCCCTCCCTCCACCCCCCTTGTGCGCGCCGCAAGCCATCCCTTCCCATGGCGCCGGCATTTCTCCATACGCCCCGGCGGGTGTCGCAGAGGATCTGGACCCGCCCGAGAGGCCCAGTCGTGAGATGCGCAGGCGGAGAGGGGAGCCGTGCACACGGAAAAAGAAGAGGAGGCGGCGAAGGAGCAGGAGGATGGGCAGGAGGACGAGCGAGGAAGATGAGGAGGAGGAGAAGGAGAAGGAGGAGGAGGAGGAGGAGGAGGAGGAGGAGGAGGGAGGAGGAGGAGGAGGAGGAGGAGAAGGAGGAGGAGGAGGAGGAGGAGGCTGGGGCGGAGGGACAGGGGCAGCAGGAGCAGGAGCAGGAGCAGCGGAAGAAGCAGGAGGACCTAAGGAGAACGCGGAAGGGGAAAGGAGGGGAAAACGCGGATCCAGAAATGTGGCCCACACTTGGGCCCGAGCGCCATTCTGAAAGACGAGAGCAAAGCGCCGATCCCGAAATGAGGCCGCTGTTGTAGCGGGAGCATGTTGAACAGCCGAGCGCGTTTCAAATGGAAAAGGGCCATGTAGAAATAATGTCTTTTGGCATGTTGCACGTAGCACGAGAATGGCCCGATTGGCAGGATCCCCACATGCACACGATATATATACATATATATGTGTGTGTGTATGTGTGGCGTTCGTGTGCGCAGCAATCGGCGGTTAACCATGGAGATGATGCCAGTAGACCTGGATGCTAGGAGGATGCCACGATGCCAGGACACTAATGTACCATGATGTCAGGAGGCCAGGAGGCTTCGATGCCAGTATGGCAAGATCCCAAGATGCCAGGCGGCCAGCGGGCCAGAATGTCAGCATCGCCAGATCCCAAGATGCCTGTGTAACCTGTTTGGCGTGTGGGGCATGCGGGATCAACGGGACCTGTGGAACATTTGGGACCGGTACGACCTGTGGGGCTTGTGGAACATGCAGGACTTGTGCGTTTAGTGGTAGCTGTGGGGCCATTGCCACCTGTGGGGCGTGAGATCTGTGGGACTTGTACGACCCATGCATTCTGTGGGACCATTGAGGCCTGTGAGGCTTGTGGGGCCTGTGCGACCTGTGGGGCGCGTGCGACTTGCAGGGAGTGGGACCTGTGAGACTATCAAAACTGCGGGGCCTGGATGCCAGGGATACCAGAGATTCGAGTGATGCCGGGCTGCCAGGGATGCCCGGATGCGAATACAAGTCCATACCAGGAGTCGAGTCTTGGGAGCACGAGTAGCCCGAATTGGCTTACATCTGGCTCCGAACATCCAGAAGCAATTTCAAGAATGAAGTTCAGGGAGCACGAAGGGCCCGAAGTAGCCCACAGTTGGCTCTGAACAATCAAAGTAGGCCTGGAAATGGAGGCCTGTGAATTCGAAGGGCACGAAGTGGCCTACAGTTGGCTGCGGACACTCGAATTCAGTGTTGGGAACCTTGTTCTGACGATTCGATGATCACAAAACACAGAACTTTCGGTCTTAACAAAAACAAGGTTTGACGATGGCCGCCTCGGATAAGCAACTTGATGCGGAGGGCCGATATAGAGGATGCTTCCAGTTGAGACTTCCTCTGGATCCGATCACCGTCAGGACTTAGGAATGGAGTAGTTCGAGCGACGCGATGATCACAAAACGAATGCATTTCCAAGCAATCCTGTGGCGTTGCGTCTTCGTTATGAAGAACCAGTACCCCGCGCCCTCCTCATCTCCTCCCCCCCTGCTCCCCCCATCCTTGCCTCTGCCTTCCGCATGTGTAACCAATTTGGTACACCCCTCACACGCTCCGTAGCCCCATAGGGAGCTCCACCGAAGGCCCCAGTGGCACAGTCCGCATGGCGTACCCGCCCCTTTTCGTTATACCCTTCACAGGTTCCGTAGCCTCATAGGGAGCTCCACCGAAGGCCCCAGTGGCAAGCTCCAGAAGGCGTGCCCGCGTCCAATCCGGCACACCCCTCACAAGTTCCGTAGCCCCATAGGGAGCTCCACCGAAGGCCCCAGTGGCACAGTCCGCATGGCATACCCGCGCCCAATCTGGCACACCCCTCACAAGTTCCGTAGCCCCATAGGGAGCTCCAACGAAGGCCCGAGTGGCAAGCTCCAGATGGCGCGCCCGCGCCCAATTCGGCTCACCCCTAACACGTTCAGTAGTCCCATAGGGAGCTCCACCGAAGGCCCCAGTGGTACAGTCCGCATGGCGTACCTGCACCCGAGCCGGCACACCCCTCACACGTTTCGTGGCCCCACAGGGGGATCCACCGAAGGCCCCAGTGGCAAAGTCCGCATGGCGTACGTTGCCCGACTCGGTACACGTCTCACCCGTCTCGTGGCCCCACAGGGAGCTCCAACGAAGGCCCCAGTGGCACTGTCCGCATGGCGTACCCGCCCTAATTCGGCATACCCTTCACGCGTTTCGTGGCCCCATAGGTAGCTCCACCGAAGGCCACATTGGCACAGTCCGCATGGCGTACCCGCACACGGTTCCGCACAGGTGCCACGCGAGCCCAGCCATTGGGGCCTTCGGTGGCGCCACTAAACGTGCGAGTGGCGTGCCGAACTCGGTGCGGCAGTGTCATGCGAGCGCAATAACTGGGGCCTGCGGTGGAGCTCCTTATGGGACCATGAAACGTTTGAGGGATGTTCCGAATGTTTTGCGTGGTGGTGGTGCCATGCGAGCGCAGCCACTGGGGCCCTCGGTGGAGCCTCCTACGGGCAACGAAGGGTTTCAGGGGTGTGCCGAAACACAAGCATGCGAAGGAAAGAGACGCGGGGCGCTGTCCCTTCAAAACGAGTACCCAACAAAACGAGTATCCAACACCAGAGGATGGTTGGGACAAATCATAGCGGGGCATCTCTGGGGATGGACAGGGCCGACCGCTGCCCCTCCTTCGTCGCCACCGTTGGATTCGCTTCGGAATCCAGATCAGAACGTACCCGGGGAGAGGCCCTCGGAGTAGGCTGTCTCGGAACCTTGCGCGCGACAAAGCGAACTTGCACCAGAAGTCGACGCATGCATCCGGCAAGTGCACCCGGTCATGTCATAGAGCATCGGCCGTTGTATTGCAGGTGGCGCCATTCTCGTACTGAAGGGAAAGGGACTCCACTAGAGAGCATTGGCTTATGTCGGGCCTGTCCCCCTACAGGGGGATTTTCGACGAACAAATAAAAAATACTTCCAAAATTGTCAATAATTAGTCCAAACATAGTCTGGGGACTATTGTTTAAATTGTTTTGACCTTTATGGAGTATTTTTGGAGTATGTTTTATTTTTCGTCGAAAATCCCCCTGTAGGGGGACAGGCCCCATAAATAGTAGATAAAATAGTCTGGGGACGATTTTCCTACCATTTTGGTATAAGTGTTGTGTATGTTTCCTTGTTCTTCCAAAATCAGCCTGTGTGGGGACATACGGGAAATGAAGAGGGGGAAAGCTCCTCCCCAGGGGGGTGCTCCCCCAATGGAAAGGGGCTTCCTTCCCTTCGACTCGCTCGATCTCCCTTGGCCTGACGTGCGCTCCTACGGATGAGGGCCCGAGGTGGCCACGGGGAAAGGAAGGAAGAGTTTGAAAGTGCTGACAGTCATCCCATCACACGCGCCGACAGAGTCTGAGGACTTTGTCGTTTATCCAGCAATTGTGCCTTAGGGCCAGATTTTCTGTTCGCACGTCAGCCTGCACCCTCGCGGCCCTCGCCACCGCCAGTCGCAATGTCGCTGAACCTCAAGAAGCAGTCGCTTGGCTCTCTCGACGTCAAGGGTAAGCGCGTGCTCATGCGCGTGGATTTCAACGTGCCGCAGGACAAGAGCGGCGCCATCACCAATACCCAGCGCATCGTTGGCGCCATGCCGTCCATCAAGCTGGCACTGGACAACGGCGCGAAGTCTGTAGTCCTCATGTCGCACCTTGGCCGCCCGGACGGCCGCGCGCAGCCGTCCATGACCCTGAAGCCGGTGGCCGACAAGCTCGCGGAGCTGATGGGGAAGCCCGTGACGTTTTTGCCGAACTGTGTCGGCGCAGAGGTGGAGGCCGCGTGCGCCGATCCGGCGGAGGGCTCCATCATCGTGCTGGAGAACCTGCGCTGGCACGTCGAGGAGGAGGGCAAGGGCGTCGACGAGAGCGGCGAGAAGACCAAGGCGTCCGAGGCGGAGGCCGCGGCGTTCCAGGCGTCGCTCGGGAAGCTCGGCGACGTGTACGTCAACGACGCGTTCGGCACGGCCCACCGCGCGCACTCCTCCATGCGAAGCAGAGAGAACTGCACGGGCATAGGTTTTCGGAGCTCTGCGCAGATTGCTTGGGTCGGCGCCTGGCCTCCCTTGATGGGCTTGTTTTCCACCACCACCACCATAAGTAGGAGGGGGAGGGGGTCCTCCTCCTCCTCCTTCTCCTCTTCCTCCTCCTCATCCTCCACCTCCTTCCCCCCTCCAACTTATGGTGGTGGTGGTGGAAAACAGGCCTCTCATCCCTCCCTGGCGCGTGGAGCGCGCCGAGGGCGGCGCCGGAGGCGCCGCCAGGGGGGTCGAGCGCAGACCCAGAAAATCCGCGCGGAGCGGCGAAAGTTTGCGTTTGTACGGTTTTTGATTCTTCGCTCCGTGGTGGGCATGGCGGGCAAGATGCCCTGCGTTGCCGGCCTGCTGGTGCAGAAGGAGCTCGACGCCTTCTCGCAGGTGCTGGACCCGGCGCTGGTGCAGCGACCGCTCACGGCCATTGTCGGAGGGGCCAAGATCAAGGACAAGGTGCTGGTGATCGAGAACCTCATCGACCGCGCCGACAAGCTCATCCTCTGCGGCGGGATGGCGTACACATTCCTCAAGGTTCGGGGAACAAGCAATGGCATAAACATGAAAAGTCGGAGGTCCGCGCATATTTTTCTGATCGGCGCCTGGGCCCCCCTGGGCGGCGCCGGCGCACCAGGGAGGGGGGTCCAGCGCCGATCAGGGAAATGCGCGCGGTCCTCGAAAGGTTGATGTTCATTTGTTGTTGTTACCCTAAAGGTCTGCTTCGGCATGCAGATTGGCAAGTCCCTGTTCGACAAGGTCGGAGCCGAGCTGGCCCCGAAGCTTCTCGAGAAGGCCAAGGCCAAGGGCGTCGAGATCGTGTTGCCGTGCGACTGGGCTTGCGGACAGGAGTTCAAGAACGACCAGGAGGTCAAGATGGTGACCCAGGCAGAGGGCATCCCCGACGGCTGGGAGGGCATGGACTGCGGCCCCAAGTCCATGGAGCTCTTCCGCCAGACCGTCATGAGCTCGAAGACAGTCGTCTGGAACGGCCCCGCCGGCGTGTTCGAGTTCAACAACTTCTCCAAGGGCACCAAGTCGCTCCTCGAGGCCGTCGCCGAGCTGACGGCGGCGGGCGGCCGCGGCATCATCGGCGGCGGGGACTCGGCCACGGCGGCGGCCAAGTGGAACATGGAGGACAAGGTGCACTTCGTCTCGACCGGCGGCGGCGCGTCGCTGGAGCTCCTGGAGGGCAAGGTGCTGCCGGGCATCGCGGCCCTGGACGACCTCGCCTGAGCCGCCTGAGCCGCCTGAGGGTCGTGGCCCGTCGGTTCTGGCCGGAACGCCCTGCAGGGGACCAGAGGTTGGCCGCCCTGGCGAGGACACATCCTGAAGGGCCGTTTTGGTATATTTCTGGAGTCATGCTCAACCAACGCCGTCTGGCGAGCCACGAACCTGGCCTTCTGCCATCAGCGTTCGCTGCACGATTCTTGCCTGCGTGGGCCTCTGTTGCCCACCTTGAGGCGGAGTAGGTACCATAGCCTGCCCGTCATAGGGGGGGAAACAACAAAAACAGGGGATCCGCACGCTAGCCCCAGCTCACATTTCCCAGTCCCCCTAAACTCAGTATCGTTTCACGGATCCCTATCCCCATCCCCATCCAGGTCCCCACTATCCCACCACCCGATTTGGAGATATTCCACTCGAAACCCAAGGGGGACAGCCTATGTCCCCATCTAGGGGGGTAAATTGGCCAGTGTGGCCCAGGCCACGAACGACAGTGGGCATAGGGATCGGTTAAATGATGCTCACACACCCTTCCTCCTCGTCATTCTTACCCTCCCCCTCTCGCCCCAATCTCCAGGCCAAAGTCCCATGCAATCATGTGGGAGCTGACCTTCCTGGCAAGTGACCCGCAACCAGCTGCACACGCAGCGCAAGTTCCGCAACATAAGAGGGGAAGGAGGAGGGTGAGGGGGATCGATCGATCGAACATTGGGGCCAGGTCGGGGTATGCTGCTCTTGAACTGGTGCCGCGCAGCGCTGAAAAATGCTGTTTTGGCCTTGCTGTGTTCACTCTGTGGGAGGTCGCTCGCGCTGCGCGGCTCTCTGGCCCTGCCTGCACCGGCGCTCCCCACGCAGGGGTGCGCGGGCAGAGCGGCACCTGCGCCTGGCAGACGCCCGCTGTCCAGCTGCTTCCCACTCTTGTGTCGGTATCCTCTTCGTCGCAGTCGGTGTTGCGCTGCTGCTCCTCTCCTGCTCAGGCTGCGCATCCCTGCAGGGTGCCGACGGTCCCCCCACATGTCTCCCGTGCCGACCCGCTCGAAGACACCGTCGCGGAGCCACGCGGTGACTGCCTCCTCGATCCTTTCGTGGAAACTGGTGTACATCCACGAGGCCGTGACCACGTACAAATTGTTCATGTCTAATGATTCGAAAGTTCTTTGGTTGTTCGGGGGGCCAAGATCCTTTCATTTCTAATCGTTCCATCCTGGGCCTCTTGCCGGCCACTAGGGGGCCAGGAACAATTAGAGACGAGCACAATTAGAAATGAGCACGATTAGAGATGAACGGCGTGTAGCCCTCCTCGAGGCGCTTCTCCACGACGCCGTACACCGGATCGGGGAAAAAGCGGGCGGCGGCTCGTGTGCCGCGCAGACCTTTTGCTTATCTTCGCCCCCCGCGCGCCCATGTCGTCGGGTCCTGATCGTCGCAGTGCTGCTGCTCCTCGTGCGCCGCGGGGTCCGTTTGTGCCCTGCTTCTCTCGGCCACGCGCAGAGGGGGGAGGGGCGAGGGGGGAGGGCTTCTTGGAAAGCACCCACGCTTCTTAGAAGGCGCGGGCCTTGTCTACAGATGTAAGGCCGGCGCCTTCTAAGAAGCACCCTTCTTCTAAGAAGCCTTCCCCCCTCCCTCCACCCCAGTGTGCGCGCCGCCAATTCTCGTCCTGAGCCGCACAGCTCTGTGGCTCCGCGTGCGTCGGGACGTCCTCGGTGCTTGCTCAGCGCCTCGCCCTGGTCCGCGGAGCTCTGCTACTCCTCTAAGGGTCGCGGCGTGCTCGGTGCCCAGCGTCGCGTGCTGGTCGGCGTCGTGCTGCTGCGCGCGCGCCTCGGAGTTCTTGTCGCCCAGCAGCGCTCCCTGGCTGCCAAGCAGCATCCCCTGGTCTGCGAAGCTCTGCTGCTCCTCGTGCGTCGCGGCGTCCTCTGTGCCCAGCACCTCGTCCTGGTCCGCGTAGCTCTGCGGTGGCTCGTGGTTCGCGTCGTTCTTGGTGTTCAGCGAGTCCATCGCTAGGAATTGATGCTGCTCCTCGTGCGTGACGGCGCCCTTGGTGCTCGGGTTCCCCTCCTGGTCTGCGAAGCGCTGCTGCTTCTCGTGCGTCGCTGCGGTCCCGGTGCCCAGCGTCTCGTCCTGGTCTGTGAGGTTCAGCTGCTTCTCAAGCGCCGCGTGCATATCCTGGTCTGTTTGTACTCCTTCTCCGCCTCGTGCAGCGCGAAAGTGAGGAAGTCCAGCTGAGCCGGCCCAGCAAAGTGCAGGAGTAGACTGCGTGTTGCGCGTACATCTGGGCTCGACGTCCACTTCATTGCACGGCCCCTTGGCAGTGCAGCAGGCGCACTGCACATGGTGATCGAGTTGTTGACGAGCCAAGCGGGAGGAGCTGCGAGAGAGGCTGTCCGCGCTGTCGCCAAGCCCGTGCGGGCCGTCGCCTCCAGTATTCTGTCACCGCAAGCCGTGTAGTGACTGCATGGTGTTCGCTCGCGGCCCTGACCTGTTTCTGAGCGACAGCCGGTGAGGAGGAGGAGGAGGAGGAGGAGGAGGAGGAGGAGGAGGAGGAGGAGGAGAGAGAGGAGAGAGAGAGAGGAGGAGGAGGTGGAGCAGCAGGAGGAGGAGGAGGAGGAGGTGGTGGAGGAGGAGGAGGAGGAGGAGGAGTTGCATTACCAGTCAAGACGCTGAGAAAATAATGCCATGTCGGGCTCAGGAGAGGCTCGGATACTCGGATCAGTCCTCAGATCTAGATCGGGTGAGGTATCTGTTGCCGAGGCTCGCCTTGGCCAAGAGAAGGCCCCTCGTTTCAGAGCTGGGGTCCTTCATGGTAGCGCGATGACTGCAGATGCGGGGAAGGAGCAGGAGGAGCAGGAGGAGGAGGAGGAGGAGCAGGAGAAGGAGGAGGCGGAGGAGGAGGAGGAGGAGGAGGAGTTGCATCACCTCTGAAGGGGAGAGCAGGCCACCCGCGATGTTGCGGAGATGCCTCGTTCGTTGATCTCGTACCGCTGGCCTGGGCTGCACTCGGGGCCACTCGTCGGTGCCTCCGCGGTGGAGCGGACCGTCGGCGGCCCACGGGTGCGCATGGCCGGCCCCCGAGCCCCCGAGGAGCTGGGACCAGGTCACGGAGGGACCTTCTCCCCAAGAGCGCCCCCACCCCATCTCAGAGGCGCAAGAGGTCATGATGATGATACGCTCCAAGTTCTCTAGGAGCCCCCGCGACACCTCAACCTCCCACACCAGGCCTGCTGGAACGAAGGCAGCCGGATGCTTCTGGAGCTCCTGGGACGCATCCTGAGCCATTCGCACCATGACATCCTTCTCGTCCTGTCATCCTCGACCTCCCCCGCCCCTCCTCCTCCTCCTCCTCCTCCTCCTCCTCCGCCTCCTCCTCCTCCTTCTCCTCCTCCTCCTCCTCCTCCTCCTCCTCCTCCTCCCCCTCGTCCTCCACGCCGTGGCCCGTTTGGGCACGGGCGGGTGCTCCTCGGCGGGACGCGCACGGCTCTGGCGCGCCCGCCTCCTCTCGCCCCGTCGTCCTGCGATCTCCTGGCGGGCAGAGGGAGGAGGAGGAGGAGGAGGAGGAGGAGGAGGAGGAGGAGGAGGAGGAGGAGGAGGAGGAGGAGGAGGAGGAGGAGGAGGAAGGGGGGGGATGAAGGAGGAGGAGAAGGAGGAGGGGGAGGAGGAGGGAGGGAGGAGGGATTGGGTGTTTGTTTTGCTCTGGGGACCTTCCAGGGGCCCCACCAACATACGCACTAGGCTCCAGCTCGATGTCGATTCAACTCCAGCTCGACCCAAGCTCGACCCAAGGTTGACTCAAGTCGACGGGCGTTTGACGCAGCATCGACGCATGATGGAGCGAGTGGCTCCAGGAAGGTCCCAAGAGCGACCTGCAGCTGCGAGGGTGGGTATCCGCTATACCCCATGCCCAGCTTGCTGATCATCGACTCTCACACCCCCTGGCCGCAGCGAAGCGGAGGGAGGCAGGAGACGCAAGGGGGACGAGAATAATGAGGAGGAGAAGGAGGAGGAGGAGGAGGAGGAGGAGGAGGAGCGCACGTCACGTGGGGCGGGAAGGAGGATGGAGCGCAAGGTGGGAAGGAGGAGCGATCGTCACCTAGGATGGGGAGGGGGAGGAAAGGAGGAGGAGGAGGAGGAGGAGCAGCAGGAGGACGAGGACGAGGACGAGGACGAGGACGAGGACGAGGACGAGGAGGAGGAGGAGGACGAGGAGGAGGAGGAGGAGGAGGAGGAGGAGGAGGAGGAGGAAGGGGGGGGATGAAGGAGGAGGAGGAGGATGGGAGGAGGAGGAGGAGGGAGGGGGGCAGGGGGGGGGGGGGCAGGGGAGGGCCAGGAGGAGCGGCAGCAGGCTGGCGGGGGCACGTTTTCTTCGGGCCGCTCGGGCGACTCCGCGTGGGAGGCGGCGGACGCAGCACTTGGGGGGAGGTGTTGGAGGAGGAGGAGGAGGAGGACGAGGAGGAGGACGAGGAGGACGAGGATCGGCTGGGTCGTTTGAGGTGCTGTCGCGGACGGCGAGGCTGTCCTCCCACTTGCCCCCTTTCCTGCCCTGGCCCTCTCTGTCCTCATCCTCGGCCCCTGGTTCTCTTCCTCGTCCCTCCCACGTCCTCTCGCCGTCCGCCTCCGGGGGGAGGGCAGGCGGACGGAGATTGGAGAGGGGGGACAGAGAGAGAGAGAGAGGGTGCGAGGACGAGGAAATGAGGCGAGAGGAAGGCACGCGAAGGGTAAGGATGAAGAAGAGGAGGAGGAGGAGGAGGAGGAGGAGGAGGGAGGAGGAGGAGGAGGAGGAGGAGGAGGGAGGAGGAGGAGGAGGAGGAGGAGGAGGAGGAGGAGGAGGGCCATCGGGGGCCCGAACCGCGGCTACGCCCCCCGCCGGGGGGCCGCCGAACGGGCTGGCCCCAGGCGCGCCGACCGCGCCGCGATGGAGCCCTGTCGTATGGCACGGCCCGGGCAGGACGCTCTCGGGCAGAGCGTGGAGCCGGTGCAGCTGCAGCAGACGAGCCACTGTCGGGGGAGCGTAAGAC